GTGGAAGGCATTCAAATATTTTGCTAAATGAAATTTTTATGGTTGTGGTGAGTGAAGCCTGAGTGTCTCTTCAAGACTATGGCTTGAGAGCTGGAAATTTTTCATTCATGTATTGGGATAATTACTACCTTATATAGTTTTAGTGTGCACGCAACAAATGCTCAACTGTTACCCCTATATGCAGTCTAAGTTCTACCAAGGATTTAAAACATTTAAAACATTCTCTCCATTCTCCAAAACAAAAACTTCAGTGACTTGAAAATTCCATTAGTATCACTTACCTCTGCTTTCTCTGAGAAGTGGTCAAGCTATCCTCTTTTCTTTTTCCCTTGCTAATTTCCTGGGATTTCTTCATGTTTTTCTGGCGGGCAAGTTCTCGCTGATTTCCTCCTACAAAGTCAAAGTCATGCTCTTTCCCCATCTCAAAAGTAATTACGAATTCCGTAAAAACGCTCTTATTTAAATGCATCTGAAGTTAGCTTTTTAACAGATACTCCAGCAGAGTAATTACACTGAACGCTGTTCCCGTATCTGACGAGGAGGAAGCTTAGAGGTAAACACTTAAGAATATTGTGATACCAATGAATGTGTTCACTGGCTGTAAATACCAGGTCTCTTACAACAGGCATTCCACTCCTCAGTCTATACGGGTCAGTATTCCAAATTAAGGTCTAGCTTTTGAAAAGCGTGAATGGAAAGGATAGATACACAGGGAACACAGCTCCACAAGTTGGCCCATCACAATTCGACTGTTAGGCGAACAAATGCGGCTATTCGAGAAACACTACCTGTAAGGGCCAAACAAAAGAACTAGGGAGGAGACTCAGTCGGAGCTTCCAGTCCTCATCAGGCCTTAGGACCTTAAGTACCAGCGAGAAACCCCCTTCAGAACAGGACGCCTCCCGGGACCGCCGTCCTCACACACCTCATCTCCGGAGAGGTGTTCTTTACCGTGTAAACTCGCACCTGACCGGCAGGTACTAGCCCGATTTCTCAGGCGGACCCGAAGCTAACCCTCCCTCTCCCTTTGCGGACTGAGATACACCAGCCAGCCCCCGCCTCCCGTCCAGCTGCGCTTCGGCGCTGGCCTCCCTCAGCGGACGCCCCCCGCCGCGTTCCCCACCCGTCCGCACACTCACGGGCCATGCCGACACCGGACCGAGCCTGGAAGAGGGCCCCTGGGGAAAGCAACGGCCTCCTAGCACGCTCAGCGGCCGTCCCCACTGGTGGCCCTTAAAGGCCGAGCCCGCGCGGGCCCTCTGCGGGGCAACGCCTCCCCTCCTTCGTGGCCCCGCCCACCGAGGCCGGACCGGGGCCTCCCGCGAGCCGGGCGAGCGACTGCGCGTGCGCTGCCAGGTAGGCGGGGCTGCCCCCGCCAAGGGTCCCCGGCCCGCAGGTTGGGAGATTGATCTGCTATCTGGAGTCATTCGGCCACAGAAATATGGTCGAGTCTACACAGCAGGTCCTGCGCCTGTGGATTTTACCCACTGTGTACCCACAGTACTGGGGCCTGGCCAGCCTCCATTTTTTGGTAACGACAAAAACAATAAATGCTACTGTATCTCATTTTTCAACAAAGAACGTTAACTTTTATTCATCCCTTGCAGAAGCGGGAAGAGGAGGAAGGGGACAAAACAGATTGAGGGTTAACTGCAGAAGTCAGTTTGGCTCTTTACATATTTTCTTTCATTCCTGCACCAAGCCTGTAACGTAGGCTTCATTGTTCTCATTTTACGAAGAGGAGATTGAGACTCTGAGCCCAGGAGCGACTGACCTAACAGGTAGGGACTTGTAGAAATGAGATCAAATTTAAGACAGACTCGCAAGTGTCTTCATTTCCCGTTTGATCCCAGTGCCTCTGTCATGGTCGACAGTAGTTTAGGAGTTTTAGGTTGATGGCTCTGTGCTTGGGTTGTGTGATGTGAAGGGAATGGCAGGGAATGCAGTTTTATCACACATTCATAATAGCCCAGGACAACCTTGGAACCTGGGTAAAAGCCATCGTGCGTTTGCCATTGCTAGAAACAGACGTGGAAAGATGCCTATTGGTTAATTTGGTTAATACTTATATTCTTCATCTATCCCGTTAATTATTACAAATTGACAAATGTGTGGAGTTAGTCTGTACACCGTAAAATTGCCCCATTTTTAAAAAAAGATTTAGTTAGAGAGAGGGAGAGAGCACAAGAGGAGGGAGAGGGAGAAGGAGAGAAGTAGACTCCCCTCTGAGCGGGAAGCCAGTTGCGGGGGCTCCAACCCAGGACCGAGATCATGACCTGAGCCCAAACCAAGAGTCTGCTGCTTAACCCACTGAGCCTCCCAGGTGCCCCCCCCCCCAATCGCCCTGTTTCTAGAAGACTTTTATTTTGGAAAATGTCAAACATATACAAAAGTATAGAAAATACCACAATGCACTCTCAAGTATATATGACCAAGCTTCAATAATGTTTATTTTAACTCCTAAGAATCACCTATTTTAGAGAAGGTAGGAGAAAGTGGTGAAGACTTAGAACTCTGGAAATGGAATGTATTGGTTGAAAGCCCAGCTCTACCAATGAGTAGATATGTGAACTTGGGCATGTTACTTCATTGCAGTAAAGCTTCCTTACCAGTAAAATGGGAAGGTAAATGTACCTCCTTAATTAACTGAATTAGTGTATGTGAAGTACTAAGTGCCCAGTATATGGTAGACCTCAATAAGTTACCTATTATTGTCATTCTTTTAACCTCAGAGAGCCTTGTGTGCTTGTCACTCTCCTTAAGCCCTACCTCTCTTCAGTAGTGCTTATGTCTAATTCCACTTAAGCAACTTCTGGAGTAACGAGCAGGGGGAAAAGATTGACTTTCTGGCCTGGCTCATAAAGAAGGGAAGGAAGCAGTTTGGGATTGGAAGGTAAGTGGTAGCATTGTTGTTTCTGTGTGTGGTCTTAATTTACAGTCTAATTGAGCTTTTTCTTTGCGTCTGCAAATATACTTTGTGAGTTGTAGGGATACACATGATATACACAAGAAATGTTGGGCGTGTCTGCCAGAGAAAACTGAAGACTTGAAATTACTGTGATGCCATTATGAATTTACTCCACAAACTTCGTTGTGTAACAAATATCTTAGGACTTTATATTTATTTATTTTTAAAGATTTTATTTATTTATTTATTTGAAAGAAAGAAGGGGTGGGTAGAGAGCGAGCTCACGGAGGAAGGAGCAGAGGGAAAGGGACAAGTAAGACTCTAAGCCGAGCGCAGAGCCCCCACCCGGGGCTCGATCTCAGGACCTGGAGATCATGACCGGAGCCAAAATCAAGAGTCAGACGCTTAACCAACTGTGCCATCCAGGTGCGCCTGACTTTATATTTAATAACAAAATTAAATCTTTGTTCCCATGTTTATACTAGTGAGAAATTAAATCTTTGTTATTATTGACTGCCTTATGTACAGAATTGTGGGAATGCCCTAGATTCTTAGGTGGAACAGAACATTTGGGGAAAGGCAATGTGTCGTTGTACCAGAATATATTGTGCAAAGCCCTGTGGTCCTGGTAGCGGCTCCAAGATTCCTGAGACATCTTTAGTAGGGGTTTCTTTGTCAAATTCTTGAGCTTCTCTAGGTGTATCTGATGTCCTGGTCCCTCCCCCAGGGTATTGGAGGGAGCCCACAGAATCCACAGACCTCCAATTTCTTTCCAGTCTGAGAGGAATTTCTTCTCTCTTCTGTGCTTGTATCCTTGTTATCTTACTCTCAAAAACACTTGCCTTTCTTACTCCTTCTTGATGACATAGCAAGGATTAATTAATAAAGGATTTAATTCATTTGACATTTTGTTATTAATGTAGCAAGCAGGATGTTCTTGTAAAATCTTGTCCTTCCAAGAAGGAAGTCGGGCCTCTCTGTTGCAATGAGTCAGGGAATTTATATTGCAGGTTCAAAAACTGGCCCATACTGTGTGGGGCCAGCCTCATCTATGGCCATTTTTCCTGACATTATAGAAGCCTAAAGTACTTCCTACCTAAAGTAACCCAGCCTTCCATTAATCTCTGTCATAGTACCATTTATTTATTTATTTATTTATTTATTTATTTTTAAAGATTTTATTTATTTATTTGACAGAGAGAGACAGCACAAGTAGGGGGAGTGGCAGCCTCCCAGCTGAGCAGGGAGCTGGATGCGGGGCTGGATCCTAGGATCCTGAGATCATGACCCTCAGGGAAGGCAGATGCTTAACCAACTGAGCCACCCAGGTGCCCCTGTCATAGAACCCTTTAAATTTGTTTCATATCATTTAATTAATTCTTAAGTTGTTCTTTTGTTGTATTTTTTTCTCCCCAACCCAGAACACCTTGTTTATTGTTCTATTGCTATCTCCTGAAGCAGATTAGGAATACTAATTTACTATAACTATATAATTTTAACTATAATAATTTTTGAACAGGTATATTAAAAAGTGCACAAAGGTTTACAGTGAATGGTCTTCCTCCCATGATATGTTCCAGAAACCTAGCTCCCATTCTAGGAAGTAATTTACCAGTTTCTTCACACCTGAATTTGTAATTTATGTTCTACTCAATTTAGAATTTCTAAGTTCTGGGGATGTGCTGGTGAACGGGCACTACTATACAAGACCTTTTTTTTTTTTTTTGAAGTTTTCTATTATTATTTTTTTAGTAATCTCTATCCGCAATGTGGGGCTCAAACTCCCGGCCCCAAGATCGAGAGTCCCACACTTTTCTGATTGAGCCAGTCAGGTACCCCATGATTTTAATAGTCTCCTAAAGATGTGGGCTGAGGGACTTGACTACTTCCTTCCCCTCCTTTCAGTAGCTCCTAGGGATTCCTAATGAGGGGAGAGCGGTTCACCGTGCATCCCAATTTCCGGTTCACGAGTAACCCTGTAGTTTGACAGTTACCATGGCTCCGGGAGATGTGCGTCTTACGTTCTTCCGCGGCGCTGGCTGATGGCGTAATCAGTTCCGGCGCCCTCCCTATGAGGGCGGGGAAGCAAGGTACTGGGGGAACTTAGCTATTAGTGTAGCAGGGTCATGAAGAAGAGGCGGCGGCGGGAGGAAGGAGGAGGTGGCGGGGGTGAGAAACTGCGGTAGCTGTCCGCTGGCCTGGTGGCGTGGCTGTGTGGAAAGGGCGTAGTTCTTAACCCCTTCTCCGGGCAGCGGCCGGGGCTCGGGGCTGAGAGCGGCCGTGGGGCCGCATCCCCGGGCCCCCTGGCTCCGCCATGTTCCGCAGGGCACGCCTTAGCGTGAAGCCGAATGTCAGGCCTGGTGTAGGCGCCAGGGGTTCTACCGCTCCCAACCCCCAACGTGGACAAGAGGCTCCGAGGCCCCAGGATCCTGCCCCGGCTTCTTCCCCGAAGCCAGCGGAGTCTACAGATGTGCCCTCGGTGGACTGCGGGGCATCCGAGCCCCAAGAAAAGGCTCCCAGGAGCAGGTCAGTGCATGCAGAGGGGAGCATTTTCATCTGCCCTGCCTCTCTGGTCCTGTCACTTGGAAGCTGACCAGATGAATTTACCATAGGAATCCTCCGTCGCCTGCATTAAGCCTTAGAGTTGAGGCCCTATGAACCTACTCTCAACTGCAGTTTGTCGCTCTGTCCACAAGGTGTGGCAAATGGGGATTTTGTTAAGGTTTGTAGATTCTCGGGGTGGGGACCGTGTCTTCAAGAGGTGGTGGGAAGAATCCACATGTAACAGTTTTGAAGGGAAAAGTATCCACGCGTGGTAATGTTCATTAGCTTAGATTTCTTTACCGTAATTTTTATTCTTCCGGAGTACTTTGAGGAGGTTAAGTAGTTTTTAAAATTTTTAAAACATTCATTTATTCCTAAAAGACCAATGTTACTTTGGTTCTGCTGATTCGAGTCAGTGGAAGGGAGATGTGGTTACTTGCTTTGATTTGATGGCATGCCCCTTTATAGTGGCCATGTTTTCTGAAGGGAAAAGCATGTGCCAGTACCACATTTGGATTCAGGACTTCTTTCTTTCTTTCTTTCTTTTTTTTTTTTTAAAGATTTTGTTTATTTGAGAGAGAGAGAATGAGAGACAGCATGAGAGGGAGAGGGAGAGTTTGAAGTTTTGTATGTTTGGTTTGACTGATCTCAGGTTGATAGAGTAAAATTTCAGTAATTTAGATCAGTTCAGTGGGATGTCAGTATAGATTATAAAGAAAAACAATTGGCAGTAGTTCAAAATAGGGTAATTAAGCTTTAATTTCTAACTTGGCCTTTTGTTTTCTTAAAAGAGTTAGCATGAGCATGAAATAATATGTTCTATTGCCATAAGGGAAGTTTAAAAAAAAACAGCAGACTTTTTTTAGAACTTATATATCTGTTAAAAACATTTACTAAATAAAATTTTTATTTATCTCTGTCGTGATTGATGTATATTTCAAGTCATTGATTTTTTTTAATAATGAGATTCTACTGTTATAGATTTTCACCACGTTAGTTTTTTGAAACTAGAATATGAAAGATCCATGGTGCCCCCTTTTTTTTCTTTTTTTAAAATTTCAACAGTGATGAAAAGACTGACAGTGAGAATTATGTTGAAGAATCCAGTAAATCTTCCTCTACTGTTTCACAGAGAAGAAAGAGAATATCAAGTACTCCTACTCTGGTTAAGCCTGGTGTCAATGTTCCTTCAGAATCTCATCCCTTATCTACAGTTAATCAAGAAGTTCCACAACCAAACCCTGTTTCAACAAAAGAGAAACAGCCATGTTCAGACAGATACCGATTATATAAAGCCCAGAAACTAAGAGAAATGTTAAAAGAAGAATTAAGAAAAGAGAAGGTAAGGGAGACAAAAATCACATTTTGACTGGTCTCTGCTAGAATTCTGTTTTTATGTTAATAAGGCACCATTTGGAGTAAAAATATCTATAGCATTTAATGGAGCATAATCAATATCCTTTTTGTTTTTGTTTTTATTATTACCATATAGTGTATTATTTGTTTCAGGGGTACAGGTAGGTCTGTAATTGATCAGTGAATATCCTTTTTGTTAAGTGATTAATAAGCCCAATGGACTTAATAAGCTTTTTTCCCCACTATGTTAATTTTTATATATTCCTCTATATTTTTCATTGTTTTTGGTGAAGGCCACAAGTAGAAGTTCTGTACATATACATACATAGAAATGTATACAAAGTATATTTATAAAATAAGCCTTCAATCTGATTTTTCATGATGTCCAAGTGACATGAGTTATATTTATTTGAATTAAGACAAGTATACTTGAGCAAAATGAATTGATAATATTTTCTAAGTTGACAATATGGAAATTATAAATGGGAAAAATATGCTCGTATGTGTATAGTAGAGTCCATCTTTTTTCTTTTTTTTGTCCATCTTCTTTTTAATCTTGAAGATTGATTATTTTTCCAAGAGGGCACTGTACCAATAGTGAAGCATGTAAATCTGCAGTTAGATACTTAAGATTTGAACCTTGGGAGTAATCCCTTACTATGTGAACTTGCACAATTTAATTAATTTTTCTGTGTCCTCATCTGCAAAATAAGACTGATGATAGTATGTATCTCATTGGAGGGTTGTAAAGCTTGGATGAGTTTATACATGTAAAACACATTTAGACTAGTGTCTGGCAAATACATGTCAGCTCTTATTTTTAATTACAGAATGCCCTTTTTAATTAATTAAGAGGAAGGCACTTAGCATGGTGCTTTATATTTGTTATTTAATTCTATCACATTTGTGAAGTAGATATCACTATTTTACACAGACAGAAATAGGCTCATAGAGGTTACTTGCCTTGTGTCAAACATCAGTGGGGTTTGAATCTATATCCTCTAAAATTGAAGTCTTTCAGAATGCTCTATGTTTATTGAATCTGCTTAGGTAAATTTATTCTGTGGAATTAAAAAATTAAACATTTGCTTCAAGAATTTTATAAAATTCACAAATCCAGATCACTACAGGGTAAACAAAAGCTGTATGTTTATAAATTCTTAGTAAACTCTTTTCGTTAGAAGACATTTGTAGGGTTTATACATTGAGCTTTTGTCCAGTCCTAGACACTTCAGTTTTTAAGGTTCCTTGTTGTGCTACAACTTTTTAATATTCACTTTAGAAAATTTTTCCTTAAATTAGGAATAATTGTGGTAGGAATAATATTAAATCACTTGGAATGAATGCAACAGTGAGCTGTACCTTGGAGTATAGTACATGTGAAATTCTTCTGTATTTGTAAAATAAAAGTGGATCTCTGTGTGTGTTTGTGTGTCTAGAAGCAATGGAAAAACAAATATGCCATAAATGAAAGTCAGAAGCCACCAGATCGTTCAAAAATGACTATGAGAGATTTCATATATTACCTGCCAGATAACAATCCAATGACGTAAGTAAACTTTACTTTTCCTTTCTTTGAGTATGTAGTGATTTAAGTATCACTTTTAGAGTAGAGGTTCAGTGTTTTCCAAAAGCATGTTGACAAAATTTATAGCACATACGATGTTCTTTTAGAGAGAATTTTTTAACAAAATTTAGTGGTATTTCACGTAACTGCTTTCTTGGGATGGTATCCTTTACCTCTGAAATTAAAAAATAAGTTTCTTTTCTTATATTTCTAAGTTGTTGTAAAACCAACTAAACAATTTTTCTCTAATCAGTATTACAGATTCTCTTTCATGTACACTATAACCTGATACTAAAGGAATGGTCTAATTTCTTTGCCCTGCCTCCTAATTAAATATAGTGGCATTTGATTAACAAATCCTCCAAGAACAAAGCTTCTTTAATCAAAGTTAGCCTGGAGAAGCAGACGGTTTATAATAAATTTCAGTGTTATGTTCTTCATGGTTTAGCAGGTGGATGTAGGAATAGTGGCATGTTTTCAGTATAGCCTTTTTCAGGTTGGCCTATTGAAGGAAGGGCCAAAAACCTAGGTTTTGTGTTATTTGACATAGAGAAAAGCCATGTGTAGGTTGCTTTAGGCCTCAGGACTGAGAGTCTCCCTTCACTAAGGAATTAGAGAGTAAAAACATTCTGTACTTACGGCGTAGCAAATTATTTATACTTGATGACAAAATTTTTGACTGAGAAATTGACTCTTGGACCACACACTGTCATTAATGATGTTATGGTGTATCATTTAAAAAAAAAAAGCAAGTTAAAATAATTTCTTTCTTGCTGATGGATAGAAGAGACATGTGTAAATTACTTAAAAGTATTTTTTATATTAAATATTAAATCTTTTTACATATTTAAAAACAAATGTTATTTATTTGTTAGTTCTTCACTGGAGCAAGAAAAGAAAACTGAAAAATCATTGACGCCAGTCCAGACAAGAGAGTAAGCATTTATCTTACTGTTTTCTTTAAATAAATTCTTTGGTGGGTAGAGTTTTTAAAAAATGAAATCAAATAATGTTTTTTGTTACAGTCAAGTTACATGTGATAGGAATGTTTAAATAGAATAACAAGAATAAAAGTTAATGCCTGATTTAAATCAAAATGAAAGGTTCACACTGTTTGTGTATTATATATGGAAATGGCCAGTGGTATGATTTCGGTTAAAGCTTTTAGAATTAAAAAGGATTTTGTTTTGTTTTAGAATAATAATATAATACAATGGTATAAAAACCACACGGAACAAAAGTCTACTGAGAAAAGTGTTCCAAATCTGTTTTTCTGTCATCTTGTTCCTCTGTGGAGGCAACAAATGTTACTGATTTTTTAACGTATCATTCTAGTTCCATTCTGTGTCTCTCTAAACAAGCATGTATATATTTTTCTTTTTCCTTTCCTTTCCTTTCTTTTTATAGTTTTGATGCCACTAGAGAGTCTGTTTTTTGTACAAGTTTCTTGTTGCCTTCTACACTGCACTGTAATGGTCACTTACTAGTAGGAAATGTCTCCAAGAGGCTTCCTGGGAAGTTATTGTAGTTTTGTAATTCAAGATGGAGGGGATTATGGAAAATTGCCAGAAACATTGGGATTTTCTGGTTGTTACTTCAAAGGTTATTTATTTACTTTTAATTTTTTATTTATTTGTGAGAGAGAGAATGAGAGACAGAGAGCATGAGAGGGAGGAGGGTCAGAGGGAGAAGCAGACTCCCTGCTGAGCAGGGAACCTGATGTGGGACTCGATCCCGGGACTCCAGGATCATGACCTGAGCCGAAGGCAGTCGCTTAACCAACTGAGCCACCCAGGCGCCCCTACTTCAAAGGTTATTAAGTAATGATTGCTATTCTGCTTAGAATTTATATTGTTTTAAAGCAGAATTCTCAGACTTTAGTAATAGGTTGTATTTTTACAGATTTATGGGTTATGTTTGCTTCTGTAAAACCTTAAGGAGACCATGTAGTTGAATGGAAGGTATATGGGATTCAGAGTTACTATCTGGAAAACTGTATTTAGCTTCTTGGTCTGCCTTTACTGTTGTGTAATCTAGAGCAAAGATTATTTATCTACTGCAGACCTCAAATGGGTTTGAAAATAGTAACGCTTGGCGCACCTGGTGGCTTGGTTAAGCATCTGCCTTTAGCTCAGGTCATGGTCCCAGGGTCCTGGGATCAAGCCCCGCATTGGGCTCCCTGCTCAGTGGGGAGCCTGCTTCTCCCTCTCCCTCCCCTCCTCTTGTGCTCTCTCTCTCTCTCTCAAATAAATAAATTTTAAAAATCTTTTTTTTTTTTTTAAAGATTTTATTTATTTGACAGAGAGAGACACAGCGAACGAGGGAACACAAGCAGAGGGAGTGGGAGAGAGAGAAGCAGGCTTCCAGCCGAGCAGGGAGCCCAATGCGGGGCTCGATCCCAGGACCCTGGGACCATGACCTGAGCCGAAGGCAGACGCTTAACGACTGAGCCACCCAGGCGCCCCTAAATTTTAAAAATCTTAAGAGAAAAGGGAAAATACTAATGCCCAAGGATTGTTATGAAGGGCTAATAAAATGGTCTGGAAACTAATGCTTTATAACTATAAGGGTTTTTTTGTTGTTGTTAATTACCCATTATCTATTTGGTGTATCTGATACTGTTTAACTATAAGGGTTTTTTTGTTGTTGTTAATTACCCATTATCTATTTGGTTTATCTGATACTGTTGAGACAGAAAAGATGAGAATTTGTTCCTCTATTTTCAAAAGTGAGTGAAAGCTTTTTACTAAGTGCTACCGGATAAAATCAGAGAAATTCTTATAGCCCTGTCCTTAACATGTAATATTTTCAATTAGGTTATAGGGAAAGTTGGAAATAAAGAGAAGGTAGGATTTGAAGTAACTTACTTCACAAGTTCGTAGTATTCAGAAAATACTTCTATTTTTTTTTTTTTTAAAGATTTTATTTATTTATTTGACAGAGAGAGACACAGTGAGAGAGGGAACACAAGCAGGGGGAGTGGGAGAGGGAGAAGCAGGCTTCCCGCGGAGCAGGGAGCCCGATGCGGGGCTTGATCCCAGGACCTGAAATCATGACCTGAGCCGAAGGCAGACACTTAACGACTGAGCCACCCAGGCGCCCCCAGAAAATACTTCTTTGCAAGGATATATGAATTAACCTATCTTTACATTTGGTAGGCAAGAAGGTAAGAGTACTCCTGATACGGCAGATAACGAAGAACTAGAAGAAGAGGTAGATGACGGGCCATTGCTGGTTCCTCGAGTAAAAGTGGCAGAAGATGGTTCCATTATTTTGGATGAAGAAAGGTAAGTTAAAAAAAAAGACTGTGGTTTTCAAACCTCAGAACAAATGTGCTTTGTTTAATGAGAGAGAGTTTCTGCATCAGTCATTGTCACTTAGACACTGATATTTGTATTTTTCTAATGGGTATTGTAAATGGAAAAGTGAGTTAGATTAATTTATAAGTTTTAGGAATTTTTATGCTATGTTTTGTATGAAAAGATGGTACTTCTGATCTATCATCCATTAACTTACCACCATTGTTTACTGACTTTACTGGTAATTGGGATGAGCTACTGAACTAATCATATGCTGGCCTCTACTGATGATGGATTCCAAAAATTGATTCAATCTTGAAGTCAAAATTCAGGTTTTCATATTATTAACTAATACCATGTTTTGTTGTTTGGTAATAAGTAATGAAAATGCAATGAATCATAGGTTTAATATTCTGTGATTTCTGTTATGACAAGGTTTAATTCACCTTGTAGTTTAATTTCTCAGTTATAACATTAAATTTTTCAAATTTGGCATTGTGGAATTTGTTGTTTGTCCAAAGTATGTTTTTTTAAAAAGAAGATAAATTCATAGGTAGTAAATAAAAAAAAAGGGGGATAGAAAGTCTTCCGACGTTTAGTTAGTTAAAAAATCTTTTTATAGCATATAAAATTCTATGATAATTAAACATTAATGCAATACTATTAGTAATTGTTTTTGTGTGTTTTATATTGTGATGATTTTACTGGTCATTAAGTGGTTAAAAGTATTGAACTGCTTTGTGTATAGGAACATAGAACATAAATATCAAATACTTATATTTCTCGATATTTTCTGCTGGGTCTAGCATGATAAGAAAATATATATTAAATATAGGAGACATTCATAAGTTAATAAAACAAATAATTTTTTGGTGGCCCAAAGATAATGTATAAATTTTATATTGCTGTTAAAGATTTTGGAAAAATGTTAGCATTTATTTTTATTCCTTGGCAATCACATTTTAAATGAAAATTAGCAGATTCTTAGAAAATATGCATCCCTCATATGTTATACTTTTGATATGATTCTGCCATGGTAAATTTCAAAATATAACTATTCAGATATCATTTATTATTTTTCTCTGTTTTTAGTACAGATCTATTTAAAAATGTGTCTTTTTCAGTTTAACTGTAGAAGTTTTAAGGACAAAAGGCCCCTGTGTGGTTGAGGAAAATGACCCCATATTTGAGCGTGGTTCTACAACTACATATTCCAGCTTTAGGAAGAACTATTATTCTAAACCATGGTCAAATAAAGGTAACTAATTTTCATTTTATTTATTATTTTTTAATTTTCTTTCAAAAGAATTTATTTATTTATTTGACAGAGAGGGAGAGTTAGCGAGAGCAGGAACACAAGCAGGGGGAGTGGGAGAGGGAGAAGCAGGCTCCCCACTGAGCAAGGAGCCCGATGCGGGACTCGATCCCAGGACCCTGGGATCATGACCTGAACCGAAGGCAGATGCTTAATGACTGAGCCACCAGGTGCCCCACTAATTATCATTTAAATTGTGTAGGTTATTTCTTTGAAATAAAGTGAATAATTTTCTGTAAGTAAATAAAACACAAACCTTGTTATTTTCTCTTTAGCTAATTTTATTGGCACCTTCCAGTGGGGTCCCTCTCCCGATACCATAGAACTGTATCTCTGGCTTTATCTTAGTAATGTTTTTAGGAATATTCCTCTCTGTCAAATCCCTGTATAAAAAAGAAAATTTTTTGGAAAGTTATTTATATTTTTAATACTCATAATAATGTTATACCTTCATTGTATAATACGGTTTGTAAAGGTAAAAATTAGGCTGTTAAAAAAGCATGTAATACCTACTGAATGGTATTGCTTATTCTTAATAAAAATAATGTAAGTTGTTTTGGGAAAAGAAATTAAACACAACAGAATAATACAGGGCAACAAGAAAGATTCTATACTTCCCTCCTTTGACTTGTACAATCCTATTCTGTTGAGGTTACTTCTATTAGTAGTTTCTTATGTGTTTTTCTAGCCACTTTCTTTCACATACTAATTAGCACAGCTCAGTTGCTTCCATTAAAGTAGTAATATACTGGCTGTGACTGACAGTTTGGTCACTTTGACACCAGAAAGGCAGAATGTTATTGTAGTCGTCTTTTTTTTTTTTTTTTTTTAATATTCCAGCTGCTTTGGTATGAACATACAAATTTCTTTTATCATGTTCCTGTATAAAAGTTTAGAGATGTTTGAGATTCATGAAGTTCTTTGCAATAAAATTGATTAAAGATTTCCTAAATACTATTAAGTACTCTCAAATTTATTTTTAACTCAAAATGTATACTTAATCTAAGATTTTTTCCTCTGACATACTGAGATTAATTTTCATTCTTTCTAAATCTTTTATTTTTACAGAAACAGATATGTTTTTTTTAGCCATCAGCATGGTAGGAACTGACTTTTCTATGATCGGACAGCTTTTTCCTCACAGAGCAAGGATAGAAATTAAGGTAAAGTAAACCCATTACATTCATTGATTGGAAAAGGTCCAAAAATTACAAATACTATTTTTTTTAACTTTTATTTAAATCTCAGTCCATCCTTTTTCACTACAATGTTTTGGGTAGATCTTTCCCCTTGTGTAGCTCAGAAAGTAATGAGATATTGATTGTAATATGAGTAGAGTCTCCTTAGTTTTAACATATTATTTATATGTTGCCCACTTCTAAAATGGATTTGAGGGAGTACCAATAAAACCAAAGAAATTAAGATAAAAGAAGAGCTAAGTAATGAGGAGAGAAGATAAATGTACCAGAATATTTGGGTTAAGGATAGCTTCTGAACACAATGTGTTTCTGAATTTCCTTGGAAGGCATGGAGAGAAGCATGGTAAGTTAAATAATTCTCTTTATCTGAACTAACCATTGTTTTCCTAGGCTATCTTAACTTTTTAGACAGTGAGGGACACTATTAACAACTACAGTGGTGTAAATTAGTGCTTTAATATGCCTGAAAGAATGAGCATTCTCTGTTTTATTGTTCTTTTTGCGAGAAACTTAATTACAAGTTTCCTGGGATCAAGTGCATTTGAGTGCACAGTATATTGCTGTAATGCATTTCCGATTTATGATGAGATCTTATTCAACCATGGGTCTTTTTCTTCATTAATTAAAAGAATATTAGGATAGATTTTTTTATCTTGAACTAGACCAGGCATGGATCCTTCGCCTGTGGACCATGTACAGTGTAATGGTCGTTCTATTTCTGCAAAAGATGAAGAATTGTTTATATTATTTATGTTCCTTTTCTAATGTTGATCTTTGTAAAGAAAACAAAATGTTAAAGCTAGGAATTTTTTTTTTTAGGATTTTATTTATTTGAGAAAGAGGGAGAATGTGAGAGAGAGAAAGAGCATGACGAGGGGAAGGTCAGAAGGAGAAGCAGACTCCCTGCCGAGCAGGGAGCCCGATGCGGGACTCGATCCAGGGACTCCAGGATCATGACCCGAACCGAAGGCAGTCGCTTAACCAACTGAGCCACCCAGGCGCCCTAACACTAGAAATTGATTATCTAGGGGAGCTTTCTGATCTGAGTAATTAATGATAAGTTCGTCACTAGACTATTTCTCTCAAAAATTATTTAGACTCTTCCCCTAAGTTTAGTATAGTTCCAACAGGTCTTTGGGCAAAGTATAGAAAAGTGAAAATGGACTAGTCAGTTATATTGATTTTCAAGTGTTGAACCAAACTTGTATTATTCTTTTTGTATGTTGAATTTTACTGTATTTTCTTGAGGGTTATTTTGCATTTTTGTTCATGAGGAATATTTTGTAAATTTTTTTTTAATGTCTTTGTCCAAAATGTTTTGGAACTAGGATTATGCTGGTCATAGAAAATGAGTTGGAAAGTGTTTCCTCTTTTATGTGAACAAATTTAAGATTAGTGGTATTTCTCCTTTAATGTTTGATAGAATTCAACAGTGAGACCATCTGGGCCTGTAATTTTCTTTGCAGGAAGAATTTTGATTATAAATTCAATTTCTTTAATACCTATAGGTATACTCAGATTTTCAGTTTTGTCTTGTGTCAGTTTTGATACTAAGCTGTTGAATTTATAGGTATGAAGTTTTCATACTGTTTACTGAAATTTTTAATGTGTGGTGGATAGTCCTCTTTCATTGATAATTGATGTTTTCCTTCTCTCTCTCTCCCTTTTTTTTTCCTTTTCTTGCTAAGGGTATTTTGACTTCCAAAAATCTTTTTAATGAACCAACTTTTAGCTATATGTTTTCAATTGTGTGTGTATTTTCATTTTTTTTAACTTAACATTTCCTTTCTTCTATTTACTCTGCCTTTAATTTTCTCTTTTTCTAGCTTCTTAAGATGAAAATTTAGATTGATTATAAGCCCTTTTACTTTTCTAGTTAGACATTTAAAGCTGTACGTTTTCATCTGAGCACGGCTTTACTTGCATTTCATAAATTTTGATAGGTTGTTTTCATTATTCAGTTAAAAACACTGTCTAGTTTTCCTTGTGATTTCTTACCTTACATGTAAGTTATTTAGAAGTGTGTTGTTTAATTTCGTAATATTTGGGACATAGCTAAATATCTTACTATTTTCTAACTTAATTCCATTGTGAATGTCAAATAGCAATCTGTAAGATTTCCATCTTTCTGAAATTTAATGAGATTTATTTTAAAACCTGTTGTACTTATCTTAGTCAGTATTCCTGGTGCACTTGAAATGAGTGTGTACTCTGTAGTTGTTGGATGTGTTACCTAGTTCTATCAGTTAACCGAGAGAATTGACATCTGCAACCATGATTATAGATTTGCCTGTTTCTGTGTTTATATCTATCACTTTTTGATGTGTATTGAAGTTCATGTATATTGAAGTTCTTTTATTGGGTGCATTCATTTTTAGTATATTGTTGAATTGATAATACATCATTTGTCTTTCTCTGATTTATTTCACTTAGCACAATGCTTTCAGTGTCCATTCATGATGTTGCAAATGGCAGGATTTCTTTATGGCTGAATAATATTCCTATACACACATACACACACACACCTATGTGCCACATTTTCTTTATTCATTTGTCACTGTACAGTAGTTTGTCTTGGCTGTTGTAAATAATGCTGCATTGAACATGAGGATACTATATCTTTTCGAAATAGTGATTTTATCCCTTCAGGTAAAGATCCAGAAGTAGAATTGCTGTATCATATGATAATTTTATTTTTAGTTTTTTTGAGCAACATCCACACTGTTTTCTGTAGTGGCTCCAGCAATTTATCCAGTCTGACACTCTACCTTTTTATTTAATTTTATTATAGATGGCATTTCTGACAGAGATGAGGAAGTGTTCATTGAATTCTTATTTGACCTTTGATAAAAATAAGACAAAGTGTCTATTGTACATTTCCACATAATAACTTAGTTCATTTACTTTAATAATTGATATGACTGGGTTTAAGTCTACCATCTTAATATTTTCCACTTATCCCATCTGTTTTTCACTTCTCATTTGCTGCTTCCTTTTGGGTTATTCAGATAATTTTAATATTTTTTATTTTCTCTATTGTACCACTTTACTCTTTACACTTCATACTGCACAAGTAATAAACTCTTAAAGGTATATTCTATTTACCCTTCATCTTTCGTGCTATTCTATATTTCACTTTTACATAACCCAGTTTTATGTCCAACTTATTTTGGCTTAAAGTGTTTTATCTTTAAAGGAAATTGGGCAGAAAAAAGAAACTAGTTTTAATATGTAGCCATGTTTCATATTTAGCCACCAATTTTGATGTTTTTCATTTCTTCTTGTAGGTCTGAATGGCAGGTCAGCTGTTGAAAAATTCTCTCAATTTTGATTTATCTGAAGGTCTCTATTTCAGCTTCACTTTTGCAGGATATTTTTGCTGGATATGCAGGTGGTTTGACAGTTTATCCTTTCAGTGTTTTAAAATTGTCATTCCATTGTTCATTGGCTTCCAGTATTTCTGATGAAGAGTCAGTCATATTTATGTTTTTCTTCCCTTGTATGTGATAAATTGTTTTTCTGTGGCTGTTCCCGAGATATTTTTAACTCTGGTGTTCAACAGTATGATTATGATTTGCCCAGGGATAGTGTTTTTTCAGTATTTTTTCCACTTTGTTCTTGCTCTCTGGGACTCCACTTAATGTGTGTTAGTATGCATAACATTATACTTCAGGTTACTGAAGCTCTGTTTTTCTGATTTTTTTTTTTGTATTGGTTAGTTCCCATTATTGCGTTCAAGTTGACTGACCCTGTCTTCTGCTTTCTTCAATCTGCAGATAAGCCCATTCAGTGAATGCTTCATTTCTCATATTTTTCATTTCTGTAATTTCCACTCGGTTATTTTTCTTAGTTTCCTTTCTTCCGAGATTTCTCTCCGTTCATTGTAGATTTGCCTTTAAATCATTGAACATATTTATAATAGGTGCTTTAACTTTCTTGTCTACTGATTTCAACATCTTTGTCATGTTGATCTATTTCTTTTGAGTCTCCCTTTATTTCCTTGTGTATCACATTTTTCTATCTTTTCTCATGTCTTATGGAGTTTTTTTAATTGAGTACTAGACATTGTGGTTGGTATGTTTGATAATGTCTAGATTATGTTTGTTTTTCTCCTTTAAAGGATGTTATTTTATTCTAAAAGGTAGCTAATGTCCTCCCAACTCTCCTTTGCCTTTCAAGGCTTGGTTTTAGGCTTTAATAAGGCAGATCTAGACTGGTCCTTATTCTAGGTTTCTCATCTGAATCATAGAAAATAATTTGAATTACTGTTTTCTATGTTCTCCAAGGACCGCCATATTAGTACTGTTCTAGGTGTACAGCAGAGAAGGTAATTCATTACATATAGTGGATGCCTTAGGGCATTAGGGTTTAATTCTGCTAGAACCCCAATTGAGAAGGCTGCTCTAAGACTGTGGTCCTTATCTCTAACAGGTGGCTTTTCTGGTGTCTGGAGTAAATGTTTGGGTGTTAACTTTCCATTTGTGTGGGCTAGAATTCTATCACCTCACTGTGTTATGTGACTGCTAGTATCTTTCTTCTGCTCTCATTCCTGGAGGAGATGTTCTCTCTTAGGCTTCATGCTTTGGGCATGTGGAACCCAGATATAGAATAAGGACCCATGGGATACTTCTATTAGGCTTGTGAGGCTCCCCTTTTAAATAGCTCTCTTTTCTCTAGAACCCCGAGATTCTCTCCCTCCTTGGCTCAGTGAGAGTTCTGCTCCCTTTGGCCTTTATTTCCTTTTCATTGTTTAGGAAATGTAGCCCAGTCAGAGAGCTAGAGTGAACATTGGCACATCTTAAATGTTTCCATTCTGTCTGGAAATGTGGAGTTGTAGTTTTGCTCTTGCTATTGTCTATTCCAACCAGAGTTGGAAATAGTTGATTCATTTATTTTGTTCAGTGGTAAAGTTATTTTTGGTGTGCTTGGATGTGTTGAGTAAGCCTGTAACCAGTTACTTTATCAGCATTAGAGGTGAATATAATGGGATTTATTTTACAATCATGGAATTTAGTCTGGAATAGTTCCTGCCTATAAATTCAGTGAAATAACAATACATTTTTTAAAATGTTTTAAATTGTTCTCAATTATATTCTCATTTAGGTGAGATATCGTGTAGTAATGTTTTAAAATTGAATAATGCCTAAAGCTGATGGGCATTTCTCTTAGGATGTTTAATTTACTGATGATAGCCTTATGGAGGTAACTTTTGAGGAGACATTTAAAGAATAATATAATCTTTATAGGAGAAAGATGATCATCTTTGAAAAGTTTGATGTTACTTGGTAATAAGTTTTATGAAGAAAATAAAGACTGGAAAAGAAGGATAACCTATAGATAAAAATATGTTAAAGTCCTATGAAGTTTTTAAAAAATGGGCAAGGTTAAACTAAAGAGTTTAAATATGTGCCCTTGAATGATAAACAGTAAGGAAAGGCAAGAAAGTGAATTCTTTTAAAGTCAGGTTAGTGGTTAGACTTTTTCGGAGGGAAGAAGGGCACCACGAAGCGCTTCTTTGTTTTGTGTAATTTTGCTCTATTTTTTTCCAATAAAAAGTTTGATTTTTGTATTTTCAACAAAAGCTTTTAGACTACTGATTTATAGAAGGGAGAGATTAGTGATTATTTGCTCCTCCAGGATATGCATACATTTTTGACATTCTCAAACACAGGCTTATACTCTCAGACTTCATAATGACTTTTGGATGAAACCTTAAACTTTAACCATCTCCATCTTAATCTGGTGTTCAGCTGAGAATGATGTGATCTTTCGTGCTCAGAAAATCAAGAAATGTGCCTTAATATAAAGAAGGCTCTAAAGATAAACTGCCTGACTCAAAAATTTGCTTAGTTGTTTCTTTACAGTCTTTCCTCCATGTCATAACAAACATTAGAATAATAACATAAGATGTTTAACTTGATGTGAATATATTAGTTTTTAAAAAGCTAATACTGGTTAGCTTGATTGATTACAGTTTGATCTGTTACCAGGCTAATTGACTATATTTTTTTGTATTCTCTGTAAACTTAACTTCCATTGCTGATTTATGTTGTTGATTATAAGGAGGTTCAGGGAGCTCAGTATAAATCTTCATCCCTATTTTTTTTTTAAAAGATTTTTAAAAATTTATTCATTTGAGAGAGAGAGAGACAGAGAAAGCATAAGCATGGGGAGCAGTAGAGGGAGAGAGAGAAGCAGGCTCCCCCCACTGAGCAGGGATCCTGACGTGGGGCTTGATCCCAGAACCCTGGGATCATGACCTGAGCCGAAGGCAGGTGCTTAACTGACTGAGCCACCCAGGTGCCCCACTTTTTAATTTTTTTAGAGAGACAGACACACAAAAATGCATGTATGAGCAAGGGGGAGGGGCAGAGGGAATGTGTGAGAGAGAGAGAGAGAGAGAGAGAGAGAGAATCTCAAGCAGGCTTTATGCACAGTGTGGAGTCTCAGCAGGGCTTCATCTCACGACCCTGAGATCATGACCTGAGCTGATGCCTAGCCAATGAGCCACCCAGGCACCTCTGTAATCTTCACTTTTTTTTTTTTAAGATTTTATTTATTTATTTGACAGAGATAGATAGAGAGAGCAGGAATACAAGCAGGGGGAGTGGCAGAAGGAGAAGCAGGCCTCCCGCTGAGCAGGGAGCCCAATATGGGGCTCGATCCCAGGACCCTGGGATCATGACCTGAGCCGAAGGCAGATGCCCAATGACTGAGCCACCCAGGTGCCCCTAATCTTCACTTTTTTAATGGGAGAAAATTACTATAGGTTTTTTTTTCTTTTATTAACAGAATAAATTTAAACGTGAAGAGAAAACAAATGGATGGAGAATAGACAAAGCCTTTCGTAAGTATTAAGACCTCTTTTACAATATACCACTTGGAGATCTTAAAAAATGACCAATCTTTTGTGTTTAGTCCATTGTGTTTTAGATTTGTTTTGCCTCTTTATTGTCATAGGAAGAATGAGACTGGAGATTTTTCCTTTTAGCAGTGCAGGTCTGAGAGCTGATAACAAACAGATCTATAGGCAAGGGATAAGCTAAAACATCAAGAAGCAAGTAAGCAGAGCTCTGAGTTCCAGAAGTTATAAAGGAACTGAAGATACCATTTTTTTTTTAAGATTTATTTATTTATTTTAGAGAGAGATGGAGGGATCTCATGTGGGGGAGAAGCAGAGAGGGAGTGAGAGAATCTCAAGCCGACTCCCTGCTGAGCACCTGACTTGGGGCTCGATCCTAGAACTCCGAGATCATGACCTGAGCCAAAATCAGGAGTTGGACGCTCAACTGATTGAGCCACCCAGGTGCCCCCTGAAGACACCATTTCTAAATGTTTTTTATTTTTGGGGGGAACTGTATTCAAGAAGAAGTTGTTTCTGGAAGGACTTATACTATAGATGATTCCTTCTTGTGGTCATTCAGTTAACAATACTGAATAGCTCCTGTGTGCTAGTTAATGTTCTAGGCATTGAGGATATACTGGTGAACAGGGCAGATGAGAAGCTTGTTTTTAGAGCCGTAAGTCTAATTGGTTGGGGGAAAGGATAAAGTCAGTAAGCATGGTTAATTGCAGAAAGTGAGTAATTTCTAAGAAGAAGAAAAAAGAGGGAGTGAGGAGTGGATGTGTGGATTGAGTGGTCAGGAACGTTTTGTCTAAAAAGATGGTATCTGAATTTACACCTGATTTGAAGGAATGATTGATATTTTTCAGCTTTTGAGTAATAGCCTCATTGAAATTAACAAATTTTTCTTTTTGAGTCCAGAGGAAAACATCAAGAGATCTGTACAGAAAAACAAAATTGAATGCATTGTTTAAAATAGTACCTGTAGGAATGCCTGACGCCTGGCTAGCTCAGTCAGAAGAGCTTGTGACTCTTGATCTCGGGATTATGAATTAGAGCCTCATGTTGGTTGTAATGATTACTAAAAAAATAAATAAATAAACTTAAAAGACAGACAAAGGTTTGATACCTATTTAAAAAAAATAAAGTACCTCTAGTCTTTGGAAGATAGTTATCAATGTTTCATGATAAATAAATGTATTCAGTGTTGCTGTAGTGCTAATCTCAGAACAAAATCTCAAGTGAGGACTGATGTTGTATAGCATGTGTGTTTACTTTATGAGTAGACACTAAGGTAGGTGACTGGACTCTACACCCAATGTTGTTTTGGGTCCTCAGGGACATGACCTCCAGGAATGGCTCCTGGAAGATCTGCATTGTTTTGGTCGTCAACCTTCTGAATTTTGGAGAGGTGGTCTTGAAACTGTGCATTACATTCAGTGCATTATAATCAGAAAAGAATCTATAGATCTGTAAAGTCTTTATGGGGGTGTGGAGCCATTGTTAAAACCATTTTAATAGAAAACTGTTAAATTCACTGATTTGGGTGCTTTGTGGTGGAACATTAAAAAAAAAAAAACCTCAATTTTTTTTTCTTTTATAACTTCTATTTTCTTTTTTTTTACTGTTTTTTTTATCTTATTATGTTATGTTAATCACCATACATTACATACAACTTGTATTTTCAATTCCTCTGAGAATTATTTTTTTTTAAAGTTTATTTATTTAAGCAATCTCTAGGTCCATTGTGGGGCTTGAACTCACAACCCCAAGATTAAGGGTTGCATGCTCTGCCGACTGAGCCAGCCAGGTGCCCCATCCTCTTGAGAATGATTTTAATGCTGTATTTTTCAGAATCATTGTTGTGGATGGTCAGAACAGAAAAAGGCTGGGTCCACAATAAATAGGGCCTTCAGGAATCCTAGGTTTGGGCTTGGTTTCTTGAGGCTACTTTATTTTTGTTACGGTATATACCCCTTTTCCTTTTTTTTTTTTTTTTTTTTTTAAGATTTTATTTATTTACCTGACAGAGCGAGAGAGCACAAGCAGGGGGAGTGGCAGAGGGAGAGGGAGAAGCAGGCTCCCTGCTGAGCAAGGAGCCCAGTGCGGGGCTCGATCCCAGGATGCTGGGATTGTGACCTGAGCTGAAGGCAGAGGCTTAACTGACTGAGCCACCCAGGCACCCCTGTATACCTCTTTTTCTGAGGCAGTTAAACCAATCTTGGGGCTTATGTATATAGAGCCTAATTTTTTCTACCTTCACTGTATTGTTAGATGTAGATGTTAGGCAAAGATTTGACTCCTGTAATGGATTCATTCCTGGTTTGTTCATGGCTCTTTCTTTTTCTTTTTTAAAGTAGGCTCCACGCCCAACATGGGGCTTGAACTCACACCCTGAGATCAATAATCCCATGACTCAGTCTATTGACTGAGCCTGCAAGGCACCCTGTTCATGGCTCTTTCTGATGTAATGATGTTGTTGGGTATTTAGTGAGAGTGGTCCTGATCAAAATTCATTTACTTCCTTCTTTGTTGATACTTGGAAGAGTAAATAGTGAAAGGGTTGTGATAAGAGAGGATATGTGGTGGAGAGGCTTTTGAGGAATTAGTCATACTAATTAGTCTTAAAGTTGATTGATAATTTACTTACAGTGCAATTTATAGTTTGAGTTTTGAGAAAGAGTATAGCCGTGTAACCACCACCCAAAACAAGGTATGGAACATTTCCATCACTCCAGAAAGGCCCCTCGTATCCTTTTCTAGTCAGTTTCCACAGCTATCTTGATGCAGGGCCACCGCTGTTTTTATTTGAATCATCATAGGTTAATTAGTTTAGCTTATTCTAGAACTTCTTATTCATGGCATCATACAGTATGTACTCTTTTATGTCTGCCTTCTTTTAGTCAGCATTTTTGAAATTTTCCTATAATATCACTTACATCAGTACATAGTTCCTTTTTAAATTTTTTAATTTTTTTAAACTAATGTAGCTTATTCCTTTTTATTGCTTGATTTTCCTTTGTCTGACTACTACAGTGACTAGAGTTGGTTATGCATTCTCCTGCTAATAAGCCCATTTGCTTTTTTTTTTTTTTAAGATTTTATTTATTTATTTGACAAAGAGAGAGACACAGTGAGAGAGGGAACACAAGCAGAGGGAGTGGGAGAGGGAGAAGCAGGCCTCCCGTGGAGCGGGGAGCCCGATGCGGGACTCGATCTCAGGACGCTGGGATCATGACCTGAGCTGAAGGCAGACACTTAACCATCTGAGCCACCCAGGCTTCCCCCCCCATTTGCTTTTGATATCATGATACTTGAAAATTCTTTCTTTTTTTAAAATAAAAACTTGAAGGTTCTTTTTCTTTTTTTTATAACAGAGGAAAAGCGCCCTTTTGACTTCGATTTTTTTGCTCATTTGCTTCAGAAAGTTCTTGCTGAAGAAGAGAAAAGAAAACAAAAATCTGTTAAAAATCAGAGTTTAAAGGAGAAGAAATCCTCTAAACCACGGAAAAATGTAAAAGGTAAAATAAAAGAAAGTGTGTTCTATTAATAATAATAGACTTGGAATGTTGTCCCTCAAGTCTTTGAGCATTCCTATGTCGTTTAGATCATCTGGGCATCCATTGGGGAGAATTGATTTTTCTCCAGTCTTGTAGTTATCTCACCCAAAATAGTACTTCTGTGTAAATTTTATAATTGGCATGACTGGGCTATTTAACATCTTTCTTGCATCTAGGGCATAGTTGTAGCTAATAAAAGACCATTGGAATTTGGGGGTGTCATGTTTGGTTACTTATCATCATTTTCCTTTGTAGAACCTGGCACAAAGTTCTAATATTTAAAAAATGGAACTCTGATACTTCTGCTTGTGACTGAATTGTATTGTTTGAGCACAGTTTTTTTACCTTTTTTTTTTTTTTTTAACATAAAATATATTATTTGTTTCAGGGGTACAGATCTGTGATTCATCAGTCTTAACACAGTTCACAGAGCTCCACCATAGCACATACCCTCCCCAATGTCCATCACCCAGCCACCCCATCCCTCCCGCCCCCACCACTCTAGCAACCCTCAGTTTGTTTCCTGAGATTAAGAGTCTCTTATGGTTTGTCTCCCTCTCTGGTTTTGTCTTGTTTCATTTTTCCCTCCCTTCCCCTATGATCCTCTGCCTTGTTTCTCAAATTCCTCATATCAGTGAGACCATATGATACTTGTCTTTTCTCTGATTGACTTATTTTGCTTAGTATAATATTGAGCACAGTTTCTTTCTTTTTTTTTCTTTTTTAGATTTTACTTTATTTGACAGAGAGAGAGAGAGACAGCACAAGTAGGCAGAGTGGCAGGCAGAGGGAGAGGGAGAAGCAGGCTTCCCGCTGAGCGGGGAGCCCGATGCGGGGCTCGATCCCAGGATCCTGGGATCATGACTTGAGCCGAAGGCAGCTGCTTAGCCGACTGAGCCACCCAGGCGCCCCAGTTTATTTCTGAGGGTTAATGTTGACTTGTACTGGATAGAACCTTGTTTATATGTAGGTATTTGTGTTTTTAGCAGGTATTTTCTTAATTATTTGAATTCTGATCTAGGAGGACAATGTTTAGCTCTATCCAGTACTTTAAAGACTCATGGAACTATAGGGAACTTTGTATGTTAGGTAGTCCACATCCCAGACCCTTTCCGTTTGTTTTAGTCACTTGGAAACAGCCCTGGAGATCTTGTTCCTTTTTCCTAAGGTCTCACAGTTTTAGTAGTGACAGAGGCAGGACTCGAGCCTAGGGCCGTAAGAGCCTGCTTTGGGGGTCTCCAAGACTACTGTTAGGTTTGATTATTGGCTCAGAGAGTCACAAGATCCAACATACAGTTGTACAAACAGCTGAGATTTGTAACAGTGAAAGGAAATGGAATAAAATCAGCAGAGGGAAGGACGTGGCTCCAAGTGGAGGGGAATTTAGGTGCAGGCTTACCAGTCCTCTCGCCCAGAGTCACACAGGTTCTGCTTCATTCCTGTAGTAACAAGTCATGATGAGATACATAACAAATTGTCTACCAGCAAAGCTTGTTAGAAACTCACTATCCGGGCGCCTGGGTGGCTCAGTTGGTTAAGCGACTGCCCTCGGCTCAGGTCATGATCCTGGAGTCCCAGGATCGAGTCCCACATCGGGCTCTCTGCTCGGCAGGGAGCCTGCTTCTCCCTCTGACCCTACCCCCTCTCGTGTGCTCTCTCTCTCTCTCTCATTCTCTCTGTCTCAAATAAATAAATAAAAATCTTTAAAAAAAAAAAAAAAAAAGAAACTCACTATCCAAGGTTTTTATTGGAAGCTGGTCATGTAGACACCCTCTGCCTGGCACATGTCAGAATTCAGAACTCCCAAAACGAAAATAGTTTTTCAGCATAAACCACCTTGTTTGTACAAACATTTTAGGCCACTTTTGTCAGGCTGGTGTGAATTCTTCCCAAGCCCAAGTTTCCAGACACAGCCCAAAGGCCAACCTTTTAAGCAGGACTTTGAAGGGATAGCAGTGAGGCCTGCTACATTAACTCTCTTCTGCACAGAGCAGTCCAATATTTCTTTTTCTGGACCATGATGTCTGTATCATTTTAAACATAGTATTGGTAACTACAAAATTATTTCATTCTTCAGTCACTTACTTACTATACATGGCCCTCAGAGATTAAAATAGATATATTAACATGATTATTATGTAACAGATGAAAGCATAAGTAAGTCATTGTATCTTAATGTGAGAACTTTTCAGATATATTATTACAAGTCTCAGAATTTAAAAATTACTGTTTATTATTCTGATAAGAGAATCCAGAATTGTCTTCTCAGTTTTAAAATCTTGTTATGACTTTTTTTAACAAAAGTAAATGACACTGAATTTTATTATTTTTTTAAGATTAGATATTTTTAGAGAAGATGTCTTGATCGACCATGGTTGTGAAGTTAAGTTTGTTTTTGGTTGATGTCTCCATGGTGATCTCTCTTGTTTGGTTTTTTAAACTTAATTTATTGTTTTCATCTTTTTTTTTTTTTTTAGATTTTATTTATTTGAGAGAGTGAGAATGAGAGAGAGAGCACGAGAGGGGGGAGGTTCAGAGGGAGAAGCAGATTCCCTGCTGAGCAGCGAACCCCATGTGGGACTCGATTCTGGGACTCCAGGATTATGACCTGAGCTGAAGGCAGTCGCTTAACCAGTTGAGCCACCCAGGCGCCCCTTGTTTTCATCTTTTGATACAGTTAATTGTGAATATGCCTTCATAAAAAGGGCACTAGAAATTGTTTAAAAATATTTGTTAAAAAGATTGTACATTGAAAAACAAATGGTGCAGAAAATAAATTTGTTGAATTCTCTTTTGTACCCTGCCCTCAAATCAAATTGTCCAGATTTTCTAGGGATAACCATTAGTAAACTCTTTTATTCAAGTGTATGTGTGTCTTAGAGGATATGCAATTGTTTTTGCTTAATAAAAATGACATCATACTATATATGTTTTCTGCAACTTGAGTTTTTTGTGCAACATTTTTTGAAATCTTTCATATTACTACTTATACGCCTACCTCATTATTATTTGTTGTGTGGATTTTTATGGATTTTTATAGCGTAAGTGTACTATAACTTCTTTAGTCATTCCCAGTTGGACGTGTTAGGTTGTCTTCAAATTTTTGCCCAGATATCCTTCAGTATTTATCTTCTCCATCTTTAAGAATTTTTCGTTGGGGCACTTGGGTGGCTCAGTGGGTTAAGCGTCTGCTTTCGGCTCAGGTCATGATCCCAGAGTCCTGGGATCGAGCCCCACATTGGGCTCCCTGCTCAGCGGGGAGCCTGTTTCTCCCTCTCTCTCTGCCTGCTGCTCCCCCAGTTTGTGCGCTCTCTCTCTCTCTCAAATGAATAAAATCTTAAAAAAAAGAATTTTTCTGTAGGTTATTTATATGTTTATAACAATATCTTTTATTTTCAAAGTGAATAAAGTTGCCAGTGAAGAAGGAAATGATGATCCAGATGTGTCTCCGAGCACCAAAATTTCAGACACAGAATCACCTCAAAAGGATGCTCAGATAGTTGAAGAAGAACAACAGTCTCAGACTTTAACAGGACAGGATTCAGAACAGATTGCATTAGAACCAAACCTAAATCAAAAGAAAAAAAGAAGAAAGAATCAGGATGAAGTTGGTAAACAGGAAGTAAAAAATCTTTCAGGAAATGCCACTGTTCAGTTAGGTCATTCTAAAGGAGAAAAATACAAAAGTAAGTTTCTTAAATATATTAATAGTTCCTGTATTACTTGAGAAAATGTGTACTATAGTATGATATGTAATTTAAATACTTCCGAGTACTAGCAACTAGTAACGTTTAAGTTTTGTATTCTATATTCATGTTACTGTGTTAAATCCTTTTGTTTTTAAAGGAAAGAAGTTTATTGTTGAGGGGTAAAGAAACCAAAGTGAACTGGGGAAATTTTTCTCTAAAGTATGTTTCTGGGGCACTTGGGTGGCTCATTCGGTTAAGCATCCAACTCTTGATTTCAGCTCAGGTCTTGATCTTTTTTTACTTAAAACCAAACAGTGATTAGAAGTCATAACAATGTGTATAGTTAACTGTATAATGCTTGTGTATCTTAATAAATCATAGGTGTTCATGTTCTACCTCTACAGAGCACCTTTGAATCCACAATAAGTTGTTTAATTTTTATAAAAGAGCTACTGAAATCAGTTTCCTTCTTCCTTCCTTCCTTCGATCTTTCTTTCTTCTCTTTCTTTTCTTTTTTTTTTATAGCTCCCTTAGAACGCAGGCATTTTGACACCCAGGATTTGCTAGGGAATGAGGGCTAAGAGATTCAGGCATTTTTAGTCTCTTAAGAATTCATATGTAGATTACTTAAAGTAGATAACCAAGTAAATAGAGAAGAAGAAGATAGTAGCAAACCAGAAAAACCTTTCTATAGAATTTAAATTTTATGTAGTTTAGTTTTACCAATATGATTTTAATAAATGAGTCGTGGTAGTAGCATAGTATAATTTATAGGCATCACAATATTATACTCATTTGTGGTTTTCTATTAAAGATATTACATAAAAAGCAGAATAGCTCAGTAATTAAGAAGTTGGACTTTGGAAATCAAACAGACCTTGGTTTAGATTCCAGCTTTTTTTGTTTGCTAAATATGACCTTGGGTAAGTCACCTAAGATCTTGAACTCAGGTTCTTTTTTCTCTGATGGGTTTACCACCTTTTAATAGGACTGTTTTCAATATTAAATGAGATAATGCATTTGATGGGCTTGAGTTTCTGTCACTTAGTAAGTACTAAATAAATGATAGCAGTTACTGTGTTATTAATTATGATTCTCCTGAAGGAGCAGAATAGGCCAGTCTACCTGTAGCTTCCTAACTAGCTATATAGAACAAATTTAACTATTTAAAATTTAAGCAAGATAAAAGGAGAATGCTATAAACTACCCAGGAAATTTGGGCTGATCCTCAAAACACAGTTACAACTTACACAGTTTTAAGTTGATTATCTTTTCATTAATGTTCTAAAATTAAGATCTCGGGCGCCTGGGTGGCTCAGTTGTTAAGCGTCTGCCTTTGGCTCAGGTCATGATCCCAGGGTTCTGGGATCGAGCCCCGCATCGGGCTCCCTGCTCAGCGGGAAGCCTGCTTCTCCCTCTCCCACTCCCCCTGCTTGTGTTCCCTCTCTCACTGTGTCTCTTTCTGTCAAATAAATAAAATCTTAAAAAATAAATAAAATTAAGATCTCTGCCTTACATATAGGAACTTGAATGTGGAATGGATTAATGATTTATAGGAAAAACACTTTTTTATGTAAATTCCTTTGTGCTTTAAAAAGTAGATGTTTTCATTTTTTAGAATAACATGCATTTTGTATTCATAGATAAAGGTCAGTCTTTAAGGCCTGAGATAAATGAAGATGAAGTCAATAAGGAACAGAAGCTTTCCTGCATACGAAACATGGATGACATTGTGGATTTATCCTCCAGTGAAAAAGCTGAGAAAAGAGCTGACCCTATCCTTTTATCAAGGTATTTTTCTATACCTTTACTGACTTTGTTTACATCTTCTATCAGTTACTGAGAGGGGAGTGTGAAGTCTCCAACTGTAATTATGAATTTGCCTGTTACTCTTTTCAGTTCTATTTGTTTTTCTTCATGTCTTTTGAAGCTTGTTAGGTGCATGCATATCTAGAATTGTTGTATCTTGGTGAAATCACCCTTTTACCATTTGTGTGTATCATTCTGATATTTCTCTTTGTTCTGATGATTACTTTGCTACAGCTGTCTTGTGGTTAATGTTTGCATGGGTTTCTTTTGCATGGGAGAGAGCAAGCATGGGGGGGGGGGCAGGGTAGGGGCAGAGAGAGGGGGACAGAGAATCCCAAGCAGGCTCCACTCTCAGGATGGAGCCCGACACAAGGCTCAGTCTCACAACCCTGAGATCATGACCTGAGCCGAAATCAGGAGTGGGACGCTTAACCAGCTGAGCCACCCAGGCGCCCCTGACTGGCTTATTTCACCTAGCATAATGTTTTCAGGTTTCATCTGTATTGCAGCATTTGACAGTATTTCCTTTTTTTTTAATGGCCAAATAATAGTCCATTGTGTGCATATATCACATTTTCTTCATTCATCTCTCAGTGAACATTTAGGCTGTTTAGTTTTTTTAAAGCTTTATTTATTTGACAGAGAACACAGCGAGAGAGGGAACACAAGCAGGGGGAGTGGGAGAGGGAGAAGCAGGCTTCCCGCCGAACAGGGAGCCCGATGTGGGGCTCAATCTCAGGACCTCGGGACCATGACCTGAGCCAAAGGCAGACGCTTAACCCCTGAGCCACCCAGGCACCCCTCTCTTGGCTATTTTAAATAAACATTGGAATGTAGATATCTCTTTGAGGTCCTGTTTTCATTTCTTACAGAAAAATACCCAGAAGAGGGACTGCTGAATCATATGATAGCTCTATTAATTTTTTTTGACATTTTATTTATTTTTTAGGTAATCTGCCCCCAATGTGGGTCTCAAACTCACAACTCTGAGATCAAGAGTCACATGCTCTACTGAATGAGCCAGCCAGACACCCCTCTATTTTTAACTTTTTGAGGAGCCTCCCTACTTCACAGTGGCTGTGCTATTTTATCTTCCCATCAGCAGTGCACAAAGATACCAGTTTTCCATATGCTCACAACACTTATTTTCTTTTTTCTTTGTTTTGAAAATGGTTATTCAGACATACGTGAGATGATACTTCATTGTGGTTTTGATTCGCATTTCCCTAAGTGATATTGAGGATCTTTACATATACTTATTGGCTATTTGTCTGCTTTGGAGAAATGTCTGTTCATTTCCTTTTCATATTTTTTAATTAGGTTATTTTAATTGAATTATAGGCATTCCTTTTATATTTTGGATATTAAGCTTGTGTCAGATATATGGTTTACAAATATTTTTTCCCATTCCATAGGTTGTTATTTGACCTTGTTGATTATTTCCTTTGCTTTGCTGAAGCTTTTTAGTTTGATACTGTCCCACTTGTCTATTTGTGCTAGTTTGTTCATACAATTCGGAAGATTAATAGTTTCTTTGAAGCTGAGCCCGTGGACCTTGGGTCCTTAATTTGCTAGGTGACAGAATTTAAATTGTGACTTCAGAGATACAACTAATTTCATAAACTACACATAAAAGGTACTATGGCTTTTTTAGGGGAAAAACAACTCTGTAATGACTGTTAAGATCCTAACTGGTTTTGTAAAACAGTGAGCCGATTCTAATATTATTAATTACACAAGAACAAAGAGTCATGAGTGGTAAAGACAACTTGAAAAACAACATTTCTGGGGAGGAAATATATTAATACATTAAGCTAGAGTAATTAGTGTGTTACTGGCACAGGGACAGATTGACTCAGCAGAACTGAATATAAAGCCTACGGGGAAAAATTTAGGAATCTGATAAATAGCAAAGGTAGCATTAGAAATTAGTGGGTGAAGATTGAATGAAATATTCATTAGATGGGTAGATCTATCTAATATTAGATAGTATTAGATCCTTATTTCACCCTCTATGCTAAATTTCTGATAGATTAAAGGCTACAGGGACACTGGGTGGCTCAGTCAGTTAAGCGTCTACCTTTGGCCCAGGTCATGATCCCAGGGTCCTAGGATCAAGTCCCTCATTGGACTCCTTGCTTAGCAGGGAGCCTGCTTCTCCCTTTGCCTGCCACTCCCCCTGCTTGTGTGCGCTCCCTCTCTTTCTCTGATAAATAAAAAAAAAAAAAAAAAAAAAAAATCATGTGTAAAGCAAATCTTGAAAACTATTAGAAAAAAGTGTTTGGAAATACCTTTGTGATGTCAAGGATTTCTTCACTTGATCTTAGCCAAAAGGCCGTGAAACGATGATGATGTCAAGGATTTCTTAAGATGTAAAAAGCAAAACTTTAAAAGATACAATTGATGAATTTGACTGCAGTAAACATAACTATTTCTTTTGATAAAAGATTTCATAAAGAATGTGAAAGGCATACTACTGATTGGGAGGTTTTATGTATAATATCTAACCAAAAAATAATATATAAAGAGCTCTTATTGATTAGTTGGGAAAAGACAAACACCCAGTAGAAAAAAATGAGGGGAAAAACAAGATCTGGTTAAATGTCTTATGTGTTCATTCTGGGTGCCAGTTAGTACATGGCCATGATTTGTGGTATTATTAGTTGGATATTTCATAATACGGCAGTCTTCTCTTGGCATACAGTGCTAACTGCAGCTTATGCAAAGCAGTACCATGCAAAGTAGGGCCTGCCTGTGTAAGATTTTGATGAGAGATTATTCCTAAATATTGCTCTGATTTTACACATAGATTTGTCAACCCCATGTAATTAAGAATTTTTCATTTTGACTTCTTGAGTGTTTTCCTATGCCTTTTGATTTGTGGCTACTCTTTCTCTGTAGGTACAGTTTTTTTTGTTGTTTGTTTGGTTTTGAGAGAGAGGAAGTGTATGCGAGTGGGGAGAGAGGGGCAGAGGGAGGGGAAGAGAGAATCTTTTTTTTTTTTAAAGATTTTATTTATTTATTTACTTGAGAGAGAGAGAGAGAAACAGCATGAGAGGGGATAGGGTCAAAGGGAGAAGCAGGCCCCCCGCCGAGCAGGGAGCCTGATGTGGGACGATCCCGGGACTCCGGGATCATGACCTGAGCCGAAGGCAGTTGCTTAACCAACTGAGCCACCCAGGCGCCCATCTTTTTTTTTTTTGTAGAAAGCATCTTTTTTTTTTTTTAAGATTTTATTTAAATTCACATTAGTTAACATATAGTATATTATTAGTTTCAGGGGTAGATTTTAGTGATTCATCACTTGCATATAACACCCAGTGCTCATTACATCAAGTACCCTCCTTAATGCCCATCACCCCATTACGCCATCCCTCATCCTCCTCCCCTCCAGCAACCCTCAGATTGTTCCCTATAGTTAAGAATCTTAAGCAGCCTCCACGCTCATTGTGGAGCCCAACTTGGGGCTTGATCTCACCATCCTGAGATCATGACCTGAGCTGAAATCAAGAGTTGGTAGCCTAACCGACCGAGCCACCCAGGCTCCCCTAAAGATACAGCTTTTAACGACATGGTACAAGAAGGATCATAGAAAAGTCAAAATATTTATATTGATAATTCCAAAATACGAAGTATCGTTTTCCAACTGGTTTATATGTTAAAAAATATTTTAAGTAGATATCATAAAACATGTATTACTAAGAATTCTTTTCCTCCTGATGTGTTTTCATTTGCTTAGTGATCAACAAGATGCAACCTCACTAGCAACTGAAGCTTCAGAATCAAGCCCTTCAGATTTGCCTTTATCAGAAACTGGAATTACCTCAGTGTGTGAAGTGAATAATGTTGAAAGTAGTTGTACAGAAGAAAGCAGTGTTGACCTAAAAAATAAATCATTGTAAGTATTTTACATGGTAGGATTTTAAAATTTACTTTCAAAATTGTGATGATTTCTTATTTAAGAAATGATAATGTTGCTTTCCTTAAGGATTAGAAAGGGATGGTATACCATTTAATACATAATTGTACTATGGTCTGATTGTGACATAAAGGCTTATCACTTTATATTTCATTACAGAAAGATTCTCTTTCATATTTAATAGATAACCATGATAGGAATTTTATGTACAGTCGTGACTTACGCTGAAATCCTAAAATAATTTGGAAGCCTTAACATTTGCTGTTAGATACTTTTACTTGGTTTGAGTAATTTTTCAAAGTTGTAGATTTTTTTTTTTTTTTAAAGATTTTATTTATTTATTTGACAGAGAGAGACACAGCGAGAGAGGGGACACAAGCAGGGGGAGTGGGAGAGGGAGAAGCAGGCTTCCCGCGGAGCAGGGAGCCCGATGTGGGGCTCAATCCCAGGACCCTGGGATCATGACCTGAGCCGAAGGCAGACACTTAACGACTGAGCCACCCAGGCGCCCCTAAAGTTGTAGATTTTTTATATTGATGACTTCAAAGAAATTATTATGTTTTCTAGTGTGCAGATACTGATTAACATTTGCACTAAAAACAAAATAAAAGCACTACAAGAATCTGCCTTTGAAGAGACAGCTCAGAAATTCAGACTTCCTTTTTGGGTCCCTCCTAAACTCCTCATATAGGCTTAATGGCTGTTTAGTTTATGAATTCTTAAACTTATTTTCAGTAAAGCACAGTCACAATGAGAATGAAACTTTTTTTTTAAATAAAAATTTAGTCTTTGGAATAGGCAATATGGTCTTATGGCTCAAACACCTAGAAGTATAAAAAGATATAGAGTGAAATATCCCTCCTTCCATGTCCACATTCGCTCTAAGTATCTTGTGTAATTTATTTCTTCTATTCTTTCAGAGATTTAAAAAAAGTACTTTAAAACTAATACAAATGTATGTTCTTTATATTTTTTTACTCTTCCTAAAATCCTAATGATAGTGTGTGTGTGTTATATACACACACACAGACACCATTTTGCAGTTTTTTGGGTTTATGTCTTGATATCTTTGCATAAAGATCTTCCTTATTATTTTGGGTAGCTGCATAGTATGTAGTGTTCCGATGTGTATGTGCTGCTGAAGTGAGCACTTCATAGTGTCCTGGTGTGTAGATGGATTAGAGTTTATATTATCAAAGCCCAGCTGATGGCTAGATAGGTTGTTTTTTCAAACAGTGCTTAAAATCTTTAATTTCTATCCTTTGACTGTATGTAAGTACAGTGGACCCTTAGGAACAACACAGTGGTTAGGGATGCTGACCCCTTTGCAGTTGAAAATCCACAAATAACTTTGACTCTTCCAAAACTTAACTACTAATAGTCTACTGTTGACTGGAAGCCTGATGACGTAATTGGTTGATTGACACATATTTTGTATGTTATATGTATTATATACTGTAATCTTACAATTAAAGTAAGCTAGAGAAACAAAATGCCTTAAAATAATAATGAGAAAATACATCTACAGTACTGTACTGTATTGAGAAAAATCTGTGTATAGGTGGAATCACACAGCTTGAACTTGTGTTGTTCAAAGGTCATCTGTATTTGTAGGGTGAGTATTCAGACTGGAATTGCTTGCTGCAATGTATATATGTGTGTGTGTATACACATATACACATTGAGAATTTTGAGAGATACTTCCAAAGTGTTCTTCATACGAGTTATACTAGTTTACATTCCCACCAACATTGTAAGAAATGTCTCCCTTAACAGAAAATGGTGTTTATCAAACTAGGGTTTATGCTGGTCTCGAATAGATTAAAAAATAATACTTCCGTATACTATCTCCATCCCACTCTTCCTTTTTTGGCAGGGGTATGTAATGCTTTGTTTTTATTGAGTTTTTTATTTAAAAAATTTCTAACCTAAGGAAAAGTCAAAAGAATAGAACAACGAACATTTGTATATAATTCTCCTTAGATTCTCTAATTCCTATTATTACATTTGTGCTTGCTTGCACAGGTGTGCACGTCTCCCTCCCCCCTTAATTTGTGCTTTTTTTAAAACCTATTTTTATTTTGTTTTTTAAGTTGTTCATATTCTTTGTCCTTTTTTTTTTTTTAAAGATTTTATTTATTTATTTGACAGAGCACAGGCACGGGGAGTAGGAGAGGGAGAAGCAGGCTCCCTGCTGAGCAGGGACCCCAATGTGGGGCTCGATCCCAGGACCCTGGGATCACGCCCTGAGCTGGCGGCAGACACTCAAACGACTGAGCCACTCAGGCGCCCCTCTTTGTCCATTTTTAAAATGAGTTTTTGATGCTATTGTTTGTAGGAGCTCTTTTTATTTTAGGGAGATAAGCCTTGTTTTTTGATTTGCAAAACATGCTTTCTTGGTTGGTAGTTTGACTTCTGACTTAGTCATGTAGAAGTATTTGATTTTTATGTGGTTATATTTCTCAATTTTGTTTTTCTTTCATAGCTCCTGAATTTTTAGTTAAACTTTATGAAGGCTTACCCCAACTCAAGGTTATAAAAGAATTCATCCGTGTTTACTGTGTGGCTGTATTTAACTCTGATGCATTGGAACATATTATGAGTACAGTGCAAGGAATGGAGCTAATTTTATTTTAGTCCCCAGTGTTAGTTTTCACATCACCATTGCTTTGATATTATTTGTAACAGTACATTATTCTGTATTTCATCCTCGCTGTTTTGAAATGCGGCCTTTTTTATATACTACTTTCATGTGTTTTGAAGTCATCTTCTAAATTTTCTTTTGTGTTTCATTTATCTGTTTATTCACATATCAGTACCAGTGTTTTAATTATTGATGCTGAATAGTTTCTTTTTAGCATCTGGTAAAATAAGTTACCTCCTCATGGCTCTTGTTTTTCAGTTCTCTTTGCTACTCTTACTCTAAGTAAACCTAAAGGACTTCTTTTCTGCCTCTGAATGGATTTTTAAAGAATTTTTCAGAATTTTATTTGACTGTGCCTCCATGTTGGTGCTATTTAAATAATGTTCATTAAAATAAATAAATAAATAAATAATTCATTTTTTAGGGAAACTGATCAGTCAGGAAATGTTAAACTGATGGGAAGAAGACAACTACAGAGACCCAAACCCAATTTATCAAGGGCAGTTGGGAAGAAATCTGTTCTTTCACAAGGTAAAACAGATGCAGAGAACAAGAGTTTACGTGCAGAAACTTCAGTTGAAAAGGTATGGAGTAAGACACTTTATAGAAAATAAAATTACAGGGCGCCTGGGTGGCTCAGTTGGTTAAGCGACTGCCTTCGGCTCAGGTCATGATCCTGGAGTCCTGGGATCGAGTCCCGCATCGGGCTCCCTGCTCGGCAGGGAGTCTGCTTCTCCCTTTCATGCTCTCTGTCTCTCATTCTCTTGGTCTCAAATAAATAAATAAAATCTTAAAAAAAAAAAAAAAAAAAAAATCTTTAAAAAAAAAAAAAAAGAAAAGAAAATTACAAAAATTTTCCCTAAGTAGTTGGGAATAAACTGTTTAGTTTGTAACTACATGATAATGTAACTGATACTAAAACAAAGATACAGGAACACATGAATATTAAATGTCTCTTGTCTCCTGTTTAGGCATTTAGAACCTAGGACGTATCATTTCAAACATACTCAGTAGTGAAAAATCTCTTGTTTACTTATCTAAATTTTTAAAAATTAAAGTATTTTTTTTTTTAAGATTTTATTTATCTGTTTGAAAGAGCATGAGAGAGCATAAGCAGGGGGAGCGGCAGAGGGAGAGGGAGAAACAGGCTCCCTGCTGAGCAGGGAGCCCAATGTGGGGCTCGATCCCAGGACCCAGGATCACGACCTGAGTCAAAGGCAGACGCTTAATGACCGAGCCACCCAGGCGCCCCTACTTACATAAATTTTGTATTCAAAATGTTTTTAACCAGTTTTCCATCAAATTATATCCGTAGTCCTTTCCACAAACTGACATATTCCTGTCCTTCATAATCTTTGTCTTTTTTTTTATGTATGAAAACATTTCTGTAGGTTTTAATCATAACATACATAATATTTAAAACTTTTTTCTGTGAAACTACTCATTAACCTTTTCTTGGGGTTAATCTTTTTAATAGCTGCATCAGGTTAACATAATAATTTACCTAAGCATTTTTCTAATGGTAGACATTTAAATCGTTTCCATTTTTTTAAACTCTCATAAATAAAAGCAAATGGTTTTGTAAGTAGCCCTTTCTTAAGGAAAAAAGCAGAGGATAAATTTCCACAGGAGGTGAGATTAATGAGTCAGAGTGTTTTAAATATTTCTTGGCTTTTGTTATGCATTGTCAAGTGACAGTCAAAAAAAAGAATTTATTTACACTGTTACAGGCATTAAACGAATGTTCCTGTTTTTGTATATTTCTGCTGGCATTGTTATAAATTTTTTATTTTTGCTAAAATACATTTTAAAGTGTTAGCTTTTTTCCCTCTTAGGTTAAATATTTTTTATTATACTTCTTGTAATACAATCGTATTATTATAGTCTTGTAAAAGTCAACAAAATTGGGAAGCTACAGATTATTGTAAAAATTAAGACAAGAATTACTTGTGATTTCATTATCCAGCTGCAACTAACCTTTTAGCATATATCCTTCCAGCTTTTCCTATTACAAAATTTATTAGTATTCAGTTTTGTATCCTTCTTTGGTTCTTAACATTTCTTAAATATTTTTCCATATTATTAAATATCCTTTGAAAACATGGTCTTTAGTGACTTCATGATATTCTGTCAGTGGGTATAACTGAATTTAACCATTTACTCATTATTGGATATTTTGTCTGTTTGCAGTGTTTGGCATTTTATATAATGTTCTAGTAAACATTCTTGTACTTTGTCTGAATATTTACTTAGAGTCTTAGAAATGGTATTACAGTATGAACTTTTTTTTTTAAAGATTTTGTTTATTTATTTGACAGAGACACAGCAAGAGAGGGAACACAAGCAGGGGGAGTGGGAGAGGGAGAAGCAGGCTTCCCACGGAGTGGGGAGCCCGATGCGGGGCTCAATCCCAGGACCCTGGGATCATGACCTGAGCCAAAGGCAGATGCTTAACAACTGAGCCACCCAGGCGTCCCCAGTATGAACACTTTTTAAATAGATTTTATTTATTTGAGAGGGAGAGAGAGCGAGTGTGCACAAGTGGTGGGGGGAAGGGGCAGAGGGAGAGGGAGACTCTCCTCTGAGCAGGGAGCTCAACATGGGGCTTGATCCCAGGACCCTGAGATCATGACCCCAGCCGAAGGCAGATGCTTAACCAACTGAGCTACCTAAGTGCCCTGAGTATGAACGTTTTTTAGGCTCTTGATTTCATATTGGCAAAAGGCTTTCCAGAAAGGATATACCAATTTTTGTTCCTGTCAGTTAATAGATGGGATTATATGCTTTATAATGTTCACAGCTGCATCAATGATTTATAAAATTCTTACAATTAGAAGAACAAAAAATGAAATGTCATTGTTTTAATTTCCATTTATTATGAAGTTTGGACTTTTTTGTTAAGTCAATAAAATGTAAAAAATTGAATTTATAGAATCATATGGAAAAGGATAAAGTGAAAACATTGGACATTTCTGGAATGGGGAATACAGAGAGAGAGAACCCAGAAGCTGAGACTGTATCTACGTAAGTATTTAGGAAGTAGAATAAAAGTAGTAGCTTTTAAGAATGACTCTGATAAGTTCTGTACTTGATAATGTCTGAATTTTATTTCCGTTTAGTGTACTTAAGTCTTCTCTTAACTGTAGGTGTGTTGAAACATTTCAGTAGTGTTCTTTATGCTACTGGAGAAATAAATTATGATACGGATCCATTGGGTTCGCAGTTACATTTCTTCCTCAACTTACTAACAGGATTTTAACAAAGTCTTGTTAGATTAATTGTTAAGATACATATTTCTGGATAATTTTATGTATAGCAGGTTTCAAAAGGGAATATTTAACTGGGAATGCAGATTCAGAGTAAGTCTTATTCTAATACTAATTTGAACCATTGGATTCTGGACTGTACGTTTATGCTGTAATCTTTGTCTAGTGCCCTGGAGGTATATGTTACAAACCTAGTAGTCTTAGTGGAGAATGGTATTGTCTGTCAAATATAGATTCTTTTCCAGTTTTGTGATGAAATGATTTTTATAGTTAGGGTTCCAGGATTATGTCTGTCCCAAAGTGTTAAGGTATAGAAACAGGAGTATCTTTGAGGATGTATTTGAGGACACTTGTAATTATTTTTATATTCCAAATGGTTTACTTATTCATACCTTGGAGAAGAGAATACTGAAAACAAACATGTGACTTCAGAATAACCATAATTCTATTCTTTTGTAGTTCTAGTGAAAAAATTGGTCTGCAGGAAGATGATCAAACGAAGGCTGTCAGACCAGCACGACTAATGAGGGGCCGATTGCAAAGGCCGAAGCCAAATGTAGGTAAAGCTGCTGAAAGAAAAGAAATTCTTGCATCACAGGAAAAAATTGAGGCCAATGTAAAAAAGAGTGAAAGTCAATCCTGTATTACTAGAGATGTAAGTACTCTGATTCTTGCCATTTTTTTTGTTAAACAAGTACTTAAGCCTTCTTTTACCTCCCTCTTTAAAGGGCAAGACTGTACAGTTGTGTACATTGTATATTAAATTTAAAGCCAAAATCTCAGAGCCAGCAGCTTTGCTACTTGCAAAGCCATTTAACTCTCAGCAATCTAGATTTTGGGCATTTACATAATGGAGCATCTGCTTTGATCTTATTATCGTGTTTGACTTGCCTCCCCCTCCCCATCATTTAGGTATTTGAATTACGCTTCCTTTTTGAAAATATAGCTATATATGTGAATTTTAACTCTGGCTTAAACACAGTAAAATGTTAAAAGCTTCCTACTAGAATAGAATTCCAAGAACAAAAGATGATGAATTTTAGGTTATTTACATAATAACTGGTCTTTGTGATAAGGGTAAGAGTTCAGATCATAGTTAGATTTGAATTTCTTTTGTTATAATTCTCAAGGTCTATACTGTAATGGTACTAATCAGAAGACAGACCCCTGGGAATAACTCTAATAGATAACTCTAATAACTGAATAACTGAACTCTAATAACTCTAATAACTCTAATAACTGAAGCGCTGTAACTTGCTTTCTGATTAGGAGGAAAAGAATGGGGGCTTTGAGATAAGGTAGAAGGTATAGCTTGTGAAATCTTAAAAGATATTTAAATAACACTAAAAAAAGTGTCCTTTGAATATAATTTTATAATTTTGAAATGTTTACCATTTTCCTTGTACTCAAATTGGATAAAATTTTCAATGCAATTTTTTATAAATGGGTGTTTCATTGAGAAACCTTAAAAATGTGTTTGTTATTAAGAGTCCTGAACAAGTAGAAGATCAGTCATGTAAAAATGTTGACTTTGAAGACATCACATTACAATCTGAGAAAGAAGATAATTTTTTTCAAATGAACATTAATGAATGTGTAAGGTAAGCATCATCTTAATGGTTATGTAATCTTTGAATTTAGTATAAAGTTTTAGGAATGTTTAATCAGTTTTTAAAAACAAAAGCAAATCAGATTAATATTTGTGTATCAAATTACCTAATATTCACAATATAACTTCACTTTTCAGGGCAATTTATGTCATAGCTTTCTTTTTTTTTTAAAAGATTTTATTTATTTATTTGACAGGGACGGAATGAGAGAGGGAACACAAGCAGGGGGAGTGGGAGAGGGAAAAGCAGGCTTCCCACAGAGCAGGGTGCCCGACTGGGGGTTCGATCCCAGGACCCTGGGATCATGACCTGAGCCAAAGGCAGATGCTTAGTGACTGAGCCACCCAGGTGCCCCTATGTCATAACTTCCACGTTAATTTCTGTTACTCATGATTTGATGAGTTGATATACTCATCATAAATTAGACCTGAATTAACATACATGTTAGATTAAATGTCTGTGTCCAAATGTGAAATGAAACTTATTTTCTTCTATTTGCTTCTTTGGGATTAGATTGATCCACATATGACCTTTATTTAAGGTTCACATAAATTTTTTATAAAACCCATATATAGAAACCCAATACTTCTCCTAGCCACATGTGGCTCTTTCTTTTGTTATTTCCCCTCTGGAGGGTACCAAACAAAATCGATGGAATTATTAGTATACTTTGGAAAATGTTTTTCCTTTGGAAATATTCAATGTACACAGAAGTAGTGAGAACAGAATAGTGGACTTCTGTGCATTACTGTGTAGTTTCAACTATTACTCGTATTTTATCAATCTTTACATTTGAAGTCTGGCCTTTCTTATACTTTCTTGTTCATATCATACTTCAATCTGGCTGTTTGAGATGCTGGTCATATCTGGCCACATAAATGTGTTGTTTAACTCTTATGGCAGGGCATATGTCTGGATAAAAGATAGGAGGTGCCAAGAGGTAGGAATAGTAGACATAAATTGGTCTAGCTCCAATGCAGAGGACTGGGGACCCTTAGCCAGTATTTGGGAAGGATTGTGTGGATGACAATTAGAGACTGTTCAGAGCCAGTTGACTACTACTGTACTTGACCTTATTGATAGATTTCTCTTTATCCATGTGTCTCTATGAGTAGATACATTTATTTTAAAAATTTGTAATTTCAAAACATGGGTTTTTTTCCCCCTCTCCTTTAACTTTTAGGTTTTACCCAGAGATACCTGAGGCTTTCTTAATTTATTTTTAATTTTTTTGTTTGAGAATTCCTCGTCTTTCAGTAGTATTTTCTCAACCATCATTTCTTCAGCTGGCAGTATGCTTTAAAATTTGTATTTTTTTTTTTTTTTAAATATATAGTATTCAAGAAGATAATAAAGTCCCAGTTCTAAAGACTCGATTTCAGAAACCAAAGCCAAATATAGGAAGAGGAGCTAGAAGAAGAGAAGTTCTCTCAAAGAAAGAGGTGTCAGAGGAGATTGTTGCATCTGGGCAATTCACAGCACCTTTGAGAGAAATTACGAGAGTGGAAGAAACCTTACCAAGGGAGAGGGTATTAGTGGAGGCTAATACTACTAAGGAAATGGAGTCATATTTAAAAAAAACTGAAAGAGACAACTCTCCTAGAGAGAAGATACCAGAAATGATGGACAACACTGTAGATATGGAGACAGATTTGAAAGAAACTGGAAGAGAGGTTTCGCCAAGGGACACTATATCAGAGGTGTCTGATGTCACTGAGGAAAGAGTGACAGATTTGGAAGAAACTGGAAGAGAGGTTTCCCCAAGGGACACTATATCAAAGGTGTCTGATGTCACAGAGGAAAGAGTGACAGATTTGGAAGAAACTGGAAGAAGAGAAATATCCCTACAGGAAAATACCTTGGAGGTCAGCACTACAGATGAAGTAGAAACAGGTTTAGAAGAAACTGGAAGCGAGGTTTCCCCAAGGGACACTATATCAGAGGTGTCTGATGTTACTGAGGAAAGAGTGACAGACTTGGAAGAAACTGGAAGAAGAGAAATATCCCTACAGGAAAATACCTTGGAGGTCAGCACTACAGATGAAGTAGAAACAGGTTTAGAAGAAACTGGAAGCGAGGTTTCTGTAAGGGAAAATGTACCAGAGATGGTTGATGCTACTGAGGACAGAGAAACACATTTGGAAGAAACTGAAAGAAGAGAAATAGACACAGAAGGAAAGGCCCCACAGGTCAAGACTCAAGGTGAAATGGAGACAGATTGGAAAGAAATTGAAAAAGGAACTTCCCTGAGGGAAAAGGTACTAGTGGGGATCAGTGCCATAGGGGAAAGGGAGATTGATTTTAAAGAAACTGGAGAAAGAGATCTTTCTGTGATGGAAGAGGTATCAGGAAAGACGACTGCTACTGAAGAAACAGAGGCGGAATCAGAAGAAACTGGAGGAGACATTTCCCTGAAGAAAAGCAGATCAGACGAGATTAATGCCCCTGAAGAAATGGCTGCAGATTTGGAAAAAACTGGAAAAATAGACATTTATCTAAGGAAAAATGGAGAAGAAGAGGCTGGGACCTCAAGACAAATGGACACAGATTTAATGCAGAGCAATAGTAGTTGCTGCAGCACTATGCCTTCACTAAATATCAAAGTATGTCTTTTTCTGTTCTTTTTTTTTTTTATTTTTTTAAATTTTTTTTTTAAAGATTTTATTTATTTATTCATGAGAGATAGAGAGAGAGAGGCAGAGGCAGAGGGAGAAGCAGGTTCCCCACGGAGCAGGGAGCCCGATGCGGGACTCGATCCCAGGACCCTGGGATCATGACCTGAGCTGAAGGCAGACGCTTAACCGACTGAGCCACCCGGGCGTCCCTCTTTTTCTGTTCTTTAGAAAAACTGTTTTTGAACATATTTTCAGAGAAAAATTATCAAAATAAAAACCGTGATTATTGCTCTTAAATCCCATAACATTTAAAATCTCTAAAACCTTAAAGTCTTTCCCAGCCGTAAATTCTGTGTTTTAGGACCTTAAAGAAACTATGCATTTAAAAAAAAAAAACAACAAAAAACTTAAAAAATATTTAATTGTGGATAAGTTACCATTCTTGGTGTCAGTTTGAAGTTATTCTTAGCTAAAAGGAGTGTAGGGAATTGGACTGAGTTAGTGCTAACTCTATGAACATGCATTAGAATTATTTCTTTCGACCAAATGTCTTTCTCAGTTTTTATTTCCTGTCCCACTCCACTTTTATTTTTATTTTTATTTTTTTTAGATTATTTATTTATTTAGAGAGAGTGAGTGGGAGGGGCAGAGGGAGAAAGACAATCCCAAGCAGACTCTGCACTGAGCGTGGAGCTCGACGTAGGGCTCAATCTTAGAACCCTGAGATCATGAGCTGAAACCAAGAGTTGGATGCTTAACTGACTGAGCCATCCAGGTGCCCCCCACCCCCACTCCACTTTTAAATTTTCTTTTTTCTTTGTTTTTAAATTTTTAAGTTTTATTTTAGAAAGAGAGTGAGAGAGAGTGCGAATGTTGTAGGGGCAGAGGGAGAGAGTGAAAGAATCTAAGGCATGCTCCATGGTCAGCACAAAGCCCAATGTGGGGCGTGATCCCACACCCCTGAAATCATGACCTGAGCTGAAATCGAGAGTTGGACGTGCAGGTGACTGACCTCACCCAGGTGCCCCTAAAATTTATTAAATATTTCCATTGGGGTTGCTTGGCTGGCTCAGTTGGGGGATCATGTGACTTTTTTTTTTTTTTTTACCATGTGACTCTTGATCTTGGGGTTGTAGGTTTGAGCTGCACGTTGGGTGTACAGATTACCTAAAAATAAAATCTTTAAAAACCCAAAAGTTTCTAGTTACTTTAAGTTCACACAGTTGTGACATTATCCATTTGTGCTGATTTACTGTGGTTGATTTCCTGTGACTATTCCTCCAGAACGTTAGCTGTGAAGTACTATCCATGGTGTGTACACCTGAAGAAGAAAAAAGGAATTCTGAAAAGGAACTGTCAGGTCACTTGAGTTGTTTGAAGACTTCTTTGCAGACTTCTGAACCTGATAAAACAGAAGACCAGGGGATGCTGTCTCCAGATGTTCCAGAGCAGTTTTCAGATATTAATTTAAGGTACAAGTATATTGGTCTATGTGCTTTTAAAGACAAAGCATCTATTTTTTAAAATTTTTATTTTTTTTTTAAAGATTTTTATTTATTAGAGAGTGAGCAAGAGCAGGGAGAGGGTAAGAAGAGGAAGAAGCAGGCCCCCTGCTGAGCAGGGAGCCCGATGTGGGGCTTGATCCCAGGACCCTGGGATCATGACCTGAGCCAAAGGCAGATGCTCAACTGACTGAGCCACCCATGCACCCAAGACAAAGCATCTAAAGTTATATTATCAGATTATCAGTAAGGTTTCAAGACATATCATCTCTAGCACAGTGTTACAGATTTTAAGCTTTGGGATGTTTGGAGAGAATTTTGAGGTCGTTGTGACAGTAGATTGAGAGAATTACTAACATCAGAATTGTATGTAACACATATTCCTAAGTCAATATGGGTGTGAGAACCTGTATTTTCTCTCTGCACAGATGATAGGCTTATACTTCATTTGTACTCCTCATATTTTTTAGGATCTACCAAATAGTCCAATTTGTTTTCCTGTTAAGAATTAGATTTAGGGGCACCTGGGTGGCTCATTTGTTAAGCATCTGCCTTCGGCTCAGGTCATAATCCCAGGGTCCTGGGGTCAAGCCCCACATTGGGCTCCCTGCTTATTAGGAAGCCTGCTTCTCCCTCTCCCACTCCCTCTGCTTGTGTTCCTGCTCTTGCTATCTCTCTGTCAAATAAATAAATAAAATCTTAAAAAAAATTAGATTTAATATTTACTGCCAATTTCTCAAGTTGTCCTAAGACTCTGTTCTTGTCGTCCCTTCAACTCTTTCTAACGTTCGATAATCCTTTTTCCAAAAGCAAATCTCTTCCTCAAGAGCAGAAGCCACTTGAAGTTAAACCAGCACCTTTTGTGAGAAGTCGATTCAAAAAACCAAAACCAAACTTAGCAAGAGCAACTTTAAAGAGAGAGACTACAGTAGCAGAAAAATACGTATCTGGGAAGAAATTGGAAACTGATACTGAGACTGTTGTGGTACAGCAGAGCAGTGAACAGATAAACACTCTCCCTTCTCAACATGTGAGTGCTATTCAAGGTGGATGTTCTTTGTTTTAGCTATTATGATTACTAAAGTAAAACAGCTGGGGTTAACATTTAACAGATATTTTCTCATATAATTTCTACTGCATGTGGTATTAGTCTTGTTATACTTACTGTGCCTCACTGTTCCATGTGGTTTTGTAAGAATCTTGTCTCTCTCATGATGGGCAAGTATGTCATGGAAAGGAATTTAAGAGTCCTGGGATCTAAGTTCTGACCTTTATTCATCGTGTGACCATAGCCAAATGATGCAGCTAGTTTCTTCACAGAAAAAATGAGTTTGATAGTCATTCTTTGTTTTACTTTGTTGTTAAGGTGCATTAAAAAGTTAAAAGCTTGATAGGAGTTAAAGGAGATGTTTTATTTACTTTGTTAACTTGGTCCATAACAAATTAAGATTGTGTGATATAATATCAAAAATGTTGAATGGAAAAGTTAACACTCGTAAGTTGAGTGTTCTAAATATAAAAGTACTTTTTTGGCCATACAGGTGGGCAACAGGTACATGAAGAGATGCTCAATATGACTAATCATCAGCAAAATGCAAATCAAAACCACAATGAGCTGTCACCTCCCACCAGACAGAATAACTAGTCAAAAAGACAAGAAATAGCAAGTGTTGTGATGTAGAGAGAAAGGAACCCTCATGTGCTGTTGGTGGGAATGTAAATTGGTGCAACCACTGTGGAAAACAGTATGGAGGGTCCTCAAAAAATAAAAAAAGAATTACTATATCCAGTAATTCTAGTAGTGAGTATTTGCCCAAAGAATTCCAAAAGATGGATGCACCCTTATGTTTATCATAGCATTATTTACAATAGGGAAGATAGAAAAGCAACCAAAGTGCCCACCAATAGATGAATGGATAAAGAAGATGAGTTATATATATACAATGGAATATTACCCAGCCATAAAAAAGAATGAGATGTTGCCATTTACAGTAACATGGATGGGCCTAGAAGTCCATTTTGCCAAGTGAAATACTATGCTAAGAGAAGTAAGTCAGACAGAGAAAGACAAATACCATATAATTTCCCTTACACGTGGAATCTGAAAAATAAAACAAAACAAAAAAAGAACAGACTCAAATACAGAGAACAAACTGGTGGTTACCAGAGGAGAAGGGGGTGGGGAATTGGGGGAAATAGGAAAAGGGGATTGATTAAGAGGTACAAATTTCCCAGGGCCCCTGGCTGGCTTAGTTGGTAGACCATGCAACTCTTGATCTTGGGGTTGTAAGTTCGAACCTCATGTTGGGTGTAGAGATTACTTAAAAATAAAATCTTTTTTTTTTTTAAAGATTTTATTTACTTATTCATGAGAGACAGAGAGAGAGAGAAGCAGGCTCCCAAGGAGCAGGGAGCCCGATGTGGGACTCGATCCCAGGACCCTGGGATCATTACCTGAGCCGAAGGCAGACGCGTAACCATCTGAGCCACCCAGGCACCCAAAAATAAAATCTTTAAGAAGCACAAACTTTCAGGGCGCCTGGGTGGCTCAGTTGGTTAAGCGACTGCCTTCGGCTCAGGTCATGATCTCAGGGTCCTGGGATCGAGTCCCACATCGGGCTCCCGGCTCAGCGGGGAGCCTGCTTCTCCCTCTGACCCTCTCCTCTCTCATGCTGTTTCTCTCTCGCTCGCTTTCTAATAAATAAATAAATAAAATCTTTAAAAAAAAAAAAAAAAGCACAAACTTTCCGTCATGAAATAAGTAACAGAGATAAAAAGTACAGCATAGGGAATATAGTTAATAATATAGTAACATGTGGTTATAGGTAGTGACTATACTTACCATGGTGAATACTGAGTGATGTATATAATTGTTGAATCACTGTGTTGTACATATAAAACTAATAAAACATTGTATGTCAACTATACTTCAATAATAATAAAGACAAGTTCATAAAAATTAATAAAATGATGTATTTTTTAAAAAGTCAATTTTGGATTAAAATTCTTCTTTTATGTTTTATTTTTTTTTTAAAGATTTTATTTATTTGAGAGAGAAAGAGAGCATGAAGGGGGGAGGGTCAGAGGGAGAAGCAGATTCCCCACTGAGCGGGGAGCCCGATGCGGGGCTCGATCCTGGGACTCCAGGATCATGACCTGAGCCGAAGGCAGACGCTTAACCAACTGAGACACCCAGGTGCCCCTTCTTTTATGCTTTAAGATAGCTTAGTTCTGGGGTGCCTGGGTGGCGCAGTTGGTTAAGTGTCCAACTCTTGATTTTGGCTCAGGTCTTGATCTCAGGGTCGTGAGTTCAAGCCGTGTGGAGCCCACTTAAAAACAAATAAATAAGATAAAATAGGTTAGTTCTTACAATGCTTGAAAATTTGTACTTTTTCTGCCTGATCTTATATTTTAAAAAGGTATATCTTTTTTTTATTGATTATCTATCTGATTATAAAAATTTCACATTGAAAAAATATATAATCTAAAAAGTGAGAGTCCATTATAATGTCTCATTTCTACCTCCCAAGTTAATCAGTCATGTAGTTATTTTGAATATATCCACCCAGCCTTTTATGTATAGATACTTATTTATATAAATAATGTGTGGGTATTTTCATTGTTTTCCAAAAATGGCGTTATAACTTGCCTTCTCATTTTTTCACTTAACATAATATTGTGAACATATTTTTGGATCAGCATATACAGATTTATCTTCTAAATGGCTCTGGACTGTTCCATTATAAGCAAATTATAATTTATTCAATACCCTACGATAGGTTTGTCTTGTTCCCAGTGTTTTGATTTTGTTCTTGCTTTTTTGGGGAGCTATTTAATGGGTATAATAAATATCTTTGTATGTACTTTTCCATATACTTACTTGAGTATTTTTGTAAGATACATTTCTAGAAGTAAATTTGCTGAGAATTAAAATTTTTGGTAGATACCGTTCTGTTGTCCTCTACAGAGACTTTACCAATTTATTTTGCTGATAGTGTATGAAAGTTCCTGTTTCCCTATACTTTTATCAACCCTCGGTGAAATTTTTCTTATTTGCCTTTTAGGGTGTGGCTTCCCTAATGACATCAAGAGAAAAAGACACATTAGGTCACAGGGAGGAGGAGTCTGTAATATTACCATGTATACAGACTGAAAAGGACCTTTCACCTTCGAGTTCTTGTGATCCTAAAGAGATGTCTCAGCCTACACAGGCCCAGGAAAAGGAATTAGTTGTTTCTACGGGGTAAACAGTGATACTTCTTTGAAAATATAAAATATATTTATATTTTTAAAAAAAGGAAAATCTAAAATATGAGAGAATTCTTTCAAGTATTTCTTCATTGTTACTAAGATGTGTTAATGTATTTTAAAAGTGAATACCAAGAATACTTGGTTTATTTTTATCTTTTGTATTATTTTTATTTATTTATTTATTTATTTTTAAGATTTTATTTATTTTGACAGAGACACAGCGAGAGAGGTAACACAAGCAGGGGGAGCAGCAAGCAGAGAGAAGCAGGCTTTCCGCTGAGCAGGGAGCCCGATGTGGGGCTCGATTGCAGGACCCTGGGATCATGACCTGAGCCGAAGGCAGACGTTTAACAACTGAGCCACCCAGGCGCCCTCTTTTTTATTATTTTAAAAAAGATTTATTTATTTATTTATTTGAGAGAGGGGGAGAGAGTGCTCAGGGAGGAGGGCAGAGGGAGAGGGAGAGAGAGTCTTAACCAGACTCCACGCTGAGCACACAGCCCTATGCAGGGTTTGATCTCATGACTCTGACATCATGACCTGAGCCGAAACCAAGAGTATGATGCTTAACCAACTATGCCACCCAGGGCGCCCCAAGAATACTTGGTTTATTTTTATTCATGTGTCAGACTGCCTAAAATAGAAAATCACATTGAGTTAACACCTTTTAATGCTTGCCTGCTTGTATTCACTATTAGCTGCTTAAGGCTTTATACAAACCATTGCATTTAAAAATACATGTATATAAAGATTGTATTCATTATCTTCTTAAAAACTATAGTAGAAGGGCGCCTGGTGGCTCAGTCAGTTAAGCGTCTGCCTTCAGCTCAGGTCATGATCCCGGGGTCCTGGGATGGAGCCCCACTTTGGGTTCCCTGCTCAGTGGGGAGTCTGCTTCTTCCTCTCCCTCTGCCTGCCACTCCCCCTGCTTGTGTTCTCTCTGTCAAATAAATAGATAAAATCTTTACAAAAAAAATTGTAGTAGAAGACTTATTTACTGTTTTAACTATTTTTGTGTATATGGTCTAGTGGCATTAATGCACATTCACAAGAATATGCATTCACATTGTTTTGCAACAGTTACCACATATATCTCCAGAACTTTTTCATCTTCCCAACTGAAACTTCACCCATTAACAAGACCACCCCATTCCCCTCTTTCATTCCCTGGCAACTACCTTTGTACTTTCTGTCTCCATGAATTTGAATCTTCTAGGTACCTTATTTAAATTCATTACCTTTTGATGATTAAAATAGCTCTTTTTTTAAAAAAAGAATTTATTTATTTATTTGACAGACAGCGAGAGAGGGAACACAAGCAGCGAGAGTGGGAGAGGGAGAAGCAGGCTTCCCGCTGAGCAGGGAGCCCGATGCAGGGCTTTATCCCAGGATCCTGGGATCATGACCTGAGCTGAAGGCAGACACTTAACGAATGACTGAGCCACCCAGGTGCCCCAATAGCTGTTTTTTTAAAAATAAAAGAATATATATTTATCATCAAAGTAATTTGATTTTCCTCAAATGATACAAAATTTTTTTATAGTTTGTTAGAGAAGGTTCAATTTTTATGTCTTTACAGTAGTTTTCATCTTTTTACAGTCCAGTTCCCTCTCTTTCTCTTTGTCCTCTCTTCTAGGGCTCATAATACAAACACTTTGCAGCAAGAAGTGAAGGAAAGCATTATCCCAACTGCTCAAACAGTAAGGAGCCGATTTCAGAGACCCAGACCAAACATAAGAAAGACTGGACAGAGACAAATAGAAAGAGTTGAAGCTGAAGGCATAATTAAGGAAGAAAGAACGATAGTACAAGAAGATAAAACTAAAAAGTTCTTGACTCTGGTGAGTTACTGTTATGTAATTGAGCCTTTTAATGCATGTTAAAATATGAAATGACAGCTCAGACTGGGTTTAGAATATAGGCATCTGACACTCTCATCATTGAATATGTAACATATCTAGTTCTGTTCCAGATTTACCATTCTGGATTTTTTTTAATTGAAAATAGTTTTTTTTCCCTAACTAATTGTATGTATTCATTATGAAAATGTTCAATTAATACAAAATATCATAATGACTACTCCAGTCTTACTACCTTGAGGTAACTACTGAAAACCTTCTGACATATCTTACTGGGTATATCCATGCATGCATGTGTGTACACTTATGTAAACTTAAATAATAAAATCTCTGGGGCACCTGGCTGGCTCAGGTGGTAGAGCATGCAGCTCTTGATCTTCAGGTTGTAAGTTCAAACCCCACAAAGGGTGTAGAGATTACTGAAACATAAAATAATTTTTTTTTTTTAAAGATTTTATTCATTTTTTGACAGAGAGAGACACAGCAAGAGAGGGAACACAAGCAGGGGGAGTGGGAGAGGGAGAAGCAGGCTTCCCGCGGAGCAAGGAGCCCGATGCGGGGCTCGATCCCAGGATCCTGGGATCATGACCTGAGCCGAAGGCAGACGCATAACGACTGAGCCACCCAGGCGCCCCCATAAAATAATTTTTTTAAATAGTAAAGTCATTGTGTACATGTTATTTTGTGATTTATTTTTACTTATTAAGTGACTTTTTATATGTCAAGAAGTATGGAGATACATCATTTTTCATTGTTGCATAACATTCTGCTGTTTGACAGTTTAACCAATCTTTTATTGATGTATCTTTTGGTATAAATCTAAGTAGTGTAATGCCCTTTTCAACAGATCTTGTTTCTTTGTCCTTCTGTTTCTCTGTCTACCAAGGGAAAATCTAGATTGAAAGCGATTGTAATCCTTGTTTGAAACATCCCTATCCCCAGAAGAAATCATTAGACTTTTTGGGAAAAAATCATTAAACTTTTTTGGTGGCGGGGTGGGGGGGGACGGTGCGTGTTCACAACAGATAATTATTTGGTTTTTAAAGTGTTCTGTAAACATAATAATTGCAATAATTGAAACTTTCTCCGAATTAGTTTTATTTTGGACAGCAAAATGTGAACATTGCATACCTAGTTTGACTTTTACTTTTGAAGAACTCAATACCTTTCTAAATGAAATATTTTAGGAGGTGTGTTCAGTTATTTTAAAAAAAATGCTACTTTTCTTTTGTCATTTTAGCCAAATTCTCCAGTTGGAACTGAAATTGAAGTTGTATCCTCCAAAGTTTCAGAGTCACAGTATGAAAACCAGAGTCACATGGTTCTTGTAGAACCTCTTCATCTTAACAAAATAAATGTTTTAGATGAAAAGATGAGGTGAGTTTGCTTTTAATCAGAAAAGTGTAAAACTTTCTAAAGATAAAGTTTGGATAACTTGACATCAAGAAAAGTTTGTGGAAGGGGCGCCTGGGTGGCTCAGTCGTTAAGCTTGTGTTCCCTCTCTCGCTGTATCTCTCTCTGTCAAATAAATAAAATCTTTAAAAAAAAAGTTTGTGGAAGGATAAAGCAGTAATTATGAAATAGAATATTTTAAATATGCTTCTTTAAATGCTGTAAGAATTGCATGATTGATATTCTCTTAATTTATAATTTCTCCTCAAAGTTTGGTGAGCCTCCTCATTTTTTATTTTAAAACTAAATTTAGGGGCACCTGGGTGGCTCAGATGGTTAAACATCTGCCTTCGCCTCAGGTCATGATCCCAGGATCCAGGGGTCCAGCCCCGCGTCAGGCTCCCTGCTCAGTGGGGATTCTACTTTTCCCTCTCCCTCTACTGTTCAGCCTACTTGTGCTCTCTCTCTCTTACTGTCAAATAAATAAATAAAATCTTTAAAAACAAAACAAAACAAAACCAAAATTTAATACTAGACAGAAGTTCTTAAGTTCTTTGTGTATTTAGAAATTTATATCCTATTGACTAAAATTCATAAATAGGAATTGCTACCAGGTACTTAGTATATGCTATATTTAGAATTGTGTCCCAAACCAAATGCTAAGAATAGTATCTTTTAAATGAGTTAGACTAGAAAGGTGAAGATACTTCAGTACTCTACCACTTTTATTTATTACTTATAATCTGCTTTATTATTACTGATACTACTTTTTTTTAAAAAAGGATTTGTTTATTTTAGAGAGAGAGCAAACCCATATAGGTGCATGTGTGTGAGTGAGCAGGGAGAGGGGCAGAGGGAGAGGGAGAGAGAATCTCAAGCATTCTCCCCTCTGAGCACCAAGCCCCATGCAGGCCTCGATCTCATAGCCCTGAAATCATGATCTGAGCTGAAACTGAGCCACCCAGGCACCTTAATACTACATTTTGATTAGCAGTGATCTAAGACGGCTTCATTGCAAGGGTACCACTAGAGAGAAGACCCAAAAGTGAAGGAACAGCAGGCCCAGGGGATGTTTAAGGGGAGAGGGAACAGCAGCTCGAAAGTACTTAAGGAAAGAGCATGCCTGGCTTGTTTGAGGAACAGTGAAGGGTGCTAGTATGAAACGGGGAAAGAGAGGGAGTAGCAGATGTAGGAAAGGGTAAAGGCTGACCAGGGAGAATGGCAGATTATATAGGACCATTGTAAGGAATTTGATTTTGATTCTACTGAGCCTTTAAAGACTAGTGACCTTCAAGGTCAGCCTTTCCTAATGCTCTCATTTATAATTGACTAGCTAGACCAAGAGGATTGGAATGGCTTGTTCAAAATAACATTGGCAAATTAGTTTTTAAACTTAAGTTTTCAGGATTTATGACTTTCAGACTAGCAGATTTGTGTAGTTATATAAGCAGACCTTCCTGAATGAAAGAAACTTTACATGTTTCAAGAGATTTTATGCTGAACTTTTGTGTTTTTCATGAGAGAAATTAAACTTTTAATTTCTTTTTTTTTTAAAGATTTTTAAAAATTTATTTGACAGAGAGATAGCACAAGTAGGCAGAGCGGCAGGCAGAGGGAAAGGGAGAAGCAGGTTCTCTGCTGAGCAGGGAGCCCGATGTGGGGCTTGATCCCCGGACCCTGGGATCATGACCTGAGCCGAAAGCAGCCGCCCAACCGACTGAGCTACCCAGGCGCCCCTCAAACTTTTAATTTCTTTATGGAAACCCACGCTCCACCCCACCTTACCCCCCCTTTTTTTCTTTTGAAAAAACTTTTTCTATTCATAAAATTTATTCCAGCTGTTCACTTTATCATGAGTGATACTTTCTTCAGAGTAAAAATCTTCATAGTTTTATTTTTTTTTTTTTTTTAAAGATTTTATTTATTTGAGAGAGAGAGCATGAGAGGGGGGAGGGTCAGAGGGAGAAGCAGACTCCCTGCTGAGCAGGGAGCCCGATGCGGGACTCGATCCTGGGACTCCAGGATCATGACCTGAGCCGAAGGCAGTTGCTTAACCAACTGAGCCACCCAGGCGCCCAATCTTCATAGTTTTAAAATTAGATTATTTCTAAGTCCAGTATTGTCTTGTCTCTTTTTGACTCAAGTAGCACGTTAGGTTTATATATGTATTTTATTTTTACTTGCTTTTGTATAATCACACTTGACTGTAAATAGCTTACATTAAATATAATCTATTTTCCTAAATACATTGGCCTACATTGGAATGTATTTAGCCAGCATCATAACCTTGTTAGGATTTCCTGTGACCTTCTTTGGTGTTTCGCTGCCAGAAGAGCTTAGCAGAGTTGGAACATTTGGAAATGTAACTAATTTATTAGAAATATTACTTAAGATTAGTCTTTAATATAGATCTTTCAGAGAACTCCTGATAGATACTTATATACCTAATTTTCTTTATAATATCCAGGTTTATATTAGTTTTAAACTTCCCAATTCAGAATTCAGATCCTTGCCAGTTATTAAAATATTTTCCAGGAAAATTTAAGATAGCTCTTCAGGGGTTGTCTTGGGAGCTATACCTACTCTGTTGAACGTTAAACCTTGTCTTTTTCTGATTTGGCAGATACACAATCATTATATTGAGATCCTATGACACTGGCTGTCAGTAAACCCTTTTCCATAAACTGACAGGTCTGTGATGGGAGACCGGACTCTGGCTTTTAAGTCTGGTCTTGAACCAGAAGGACCAAGGATGTTGTGACCATTGTATATTTGTTCATGCTTCAGAGCCCAGTTGAAGATATTTGTTTAAAGTACCATTATGAAATCCAGGTTCAACTACTGGCATTTTTTTTTGTATCTAGTTATCACTCTGAAAATTACTTCAAGTACCATGACACACACACCAGAATCAATGAATAAAGTAAAAAAAGATTAATATTACCGAAAACTATTTTCCAGACTGTCCAGAAAATGGAAATTTTAAAAGCTTTTACATTCTTTTTATCAGCATGTGTGGTTTCATTTTATGTGTTTGGTTTTAAAGCCAATTTATATATAGTCCTTTGAACATAGTATTGGTTTGTGTTCAAATTGTTTGATGTAACAGCTGTCCTATCAATAAGGAATTCTGATTTTGGTTTTTCATCATGATTTGTACTTCATTCTAGACATGAACCTAAAAGGTCTGTTCCTAGTCCAGCACATTTGGTAAGAAGGCAATTCCAAAAGGCTAAGCCAAATTTGGGAAGAGCACATGGTAAGAAAGAGGAACCAGGCATAGAAAAAGACAGAGCAGATCAGAGTGAGGCAAGGAAGCCAGAAGATAATTTGCTGCAGCCAGGGGATTCTGACACTCATCTCCTTCAAAAAGTAAGTTTGAAAAAAACACTTTTTCTCAATGGGCTCTGTTTTGTCAAGATCATGAAGGAGAGAATTTTAAAAAATACAGTTTTGTCTTTTGTACTATAACCAATTTTATAAAAATTGAGTGACTTTCTAGTATTATAAAAAGTTAGAAACCAGTCAGTGTGTGTGTGTGTGTAAGTTTCCATGGTAATATTAGCTATTTCTTCTTAAATTTAAGGAAAAGGCTGAGTTTCTGACATCTTTGGAGGTTTCAGCAAGAAAAGATTGTGTAGATTCCACAGAGGCTAGTTTGGCCAAAAACAATGCTCATTCAGAAGTTGGACCATCAGGAAGCGTTGGAGAAAAAACTGTAGGGGATAAATCTGTGTCTTCAGTTGCTGAAGAGCAGTGTCTCAGTAAACTATCAAGGTAAAGTTTTATTTAACAAATACTTTCAGAATAAGAAATAAAAATAACCTATTATGGATGTCCTGCCATAACTTATTTGTAGAGTAAAAAGATGGTTTGTTAACAGAAGTGTAGATTGTTTGTTAATTACAGGTCTGTTCCTTTCCCACTTAGGATTTTTATTTACTAAAGTTTACCTTTTACTGATGTTCTTAGGAAGATTTTTCTTTCCTACAGTTAAAATTTCTGGATGTTGAGTATATTAGACATGAGCAGAAGCCTGACCAAAAAGTAGTATCTATTACCTAAATAATTAAAGTGCTAGTTCAAGTGGGGTCACAAATACAACTGAAGGGTACTCATGTTCTATAGTTTTTAAGGAGAGTGGAAAAGAACTTAAGTTCTAGAAAACAACATTGTTCTGATGGATTTTTTGCCTTCCTTTCTTTATTTTAACCTAGTCTGTTTACCCAGTAGTATCACTTCTTTTTGAGCTCATTTTGTTTTACTGGGCCATTTTCCTTTTCTCATTTTCTTCTAATAATTTCCAGTCTTGTATCTCATTTTCACTTAAATAGCAAGGAAAAAATGGCCCAGAATTAACTTACTCTGAAAAATTTGTAGGTAGATAACTAAGAATGAACTCTGAATAAGAAACTAGTAGTAATAGTACATTTCTTTCTTCATTTCACAGAGTAAGTTTTTAACATTATGGGTTGTGGGCATTTTCATTTTAATGGCTTGAAGTTTGATTTCATTCTGAAATTTTGGTTTCATTAAAATATCCTCCTTGTGCATGTAATGACTAAATTGTTATTTTGATTAAACATCCAGCTCTCCACAGCTGTTAAAAGAATCAAATTACTCTAAATTTGGTCTGGATCGAAGAGCAACTGTCTCTTCTGCTTCTGAGTGTGAGGTGGATCATAGCGGGAGGAGAATGCATCGCAGGATGAAACCAACTGTCACCAGAGGGCGTGGATCAAAACGTGTTCGAAGTAAGACCTCTAAGAAGGAACCTCGAGCTTCCAAGGCCACGCTGGTGACTCTTCGGGCTTCGCAGGAAGAAGATGAAGATGATGATGAAGATTTTGAGCCTGATTATGAAGACGAAAGTTACCATCTTGCTCCAGAAGAAGTAAACAAAGCTCCAGTGTTTGTTCCCATTGGTCTCAGGTCTCCCGAACCTGTTTCTGCTCAGATCGAGGAAACGATGGAAGAGGTAGTTTGTTTTTTGAATTCTGAGAATTCTGTCTTGTTTTTTTCTTTTAGTGTATCATTGTTTTTTCTTAGTGATTATTGAGATTTGAAAAGTTCGTTCTGTGAATAGCCTCTACCAAATGCAGTTTGTTTGAGGCCTGAGGGATATCTGAAGGAATCAGTAGAAGGAGCCTCCTGTGATTATTTAACCTCTATGACCCAGGCCCACCATGAGGTAGTCATTGTAATAATAAGGATGGAAATCTAATTTCATTTGTATGTGGAGGCTGCTTAATCTACTTTCTGATTAATTTTTCTTTTTAATTTTGGCAGGTGTTTTCTGTTAACTCTCTGATAGGCTGAGGCTGGTTAGTAGAGAATGTAGAAGGGACATTTAAAAATTTTTTTTCTTCTTAAAAATTTTGGTAAAATACATGTAAAATTTATTATCTTGGCCATTTTAAGTGTAGCTCAGCGACATTAAGTGCATTCATATTGTTGTGCTACACCATCACCACCGTCCATCCACAGAACTTTTTTCATCTTGCAGAACTAAAACTGTACCCATTAAATGATAGTTTCCCATTACCTTCTCCCCTCTTGCCTATGGCAAACACCATTCTACTTTCGTCTTTATGAGATTACTCTAGGTAATTACTCATGTAACTGGAATCATACAGTATCTGTCCTCATTGTGACTGGCTTATTGAGTATAAAGTTTTTAGGGTTCATCCATATTGAAGCATATGTTGGAATGGTCTTTTTTTAAGGTTGAATAGTATTTAATCATGTAGCTATACCACATTTTGTTTATCTTTTCATCTGTCAGTGGACAGTTGGGTTGCTGCCACCTTTTGGCTATTATTGCAGAGAGTGCTGCTATGAAACATGGGTGTACAAATACCTCTTCTAAACCCTGTTTTCAATTCTTTTGTGGATATACCCAGAAGTGGAGTCACTGAATTATATGGTAAATTGTACACCAATTTTTACTATTTTGAAAAACTGCCATACTGTTTCCATAGCAGTTGTATCATTTTACCTTCCTACCAGTGGTGTACAAGGGTTCTGATTTCTCCACATTCTCACAGCCCTTTTATTTATTTATTTTTCAGAGTAGCCATCCTAATGGATAGGAGGTGGAAGAACATAATATTTCAACTTACTTTGTTATAAGAGCTCCTTTTTTGCCTCTTGGTCTAGGATGCCAGCTTTGTTTCTGCCTCAATTTTCAGTAATTTACTTGGCTTAAAAAGCAGCACAACTGCATCTCTTTTGTATTAAGCATTTGTGATTGTTTCTGAGTCATTTGCAACAGAATTAGGAATTAACTGAGGTAGTAGTGATGATAATAACAAAAGAAGTAGGAAACTTAAACCAATTCAAGTAATGTTGAATCGAGAATTAATGGATTATTGATAACTTCACATTTATGATGAATGGAAGTCCACAACCATCTTTATTTATTCACTGTTAATAATCACATACTAGATGATATAAAGTTAATGAGTTAGAATGGTTGAAATTAAATAAAAATGATGCAAAATGAAATTTCTTATAACTGAAAGTTCAGAGTTGAAGATAGTGCATTTATGTTTTATTTGAAACCAAGAAAATGCAAAAGGAAAGTTAATTTTTTGTAAGGACACCTGGTTAACACTGCATGAGAATTCATTTAGCTATATGTTTTGTATTTTACTAATTCCGTTGGTTGAAAGCCACATTGTTAAGTGAAAGAAGTCAGTTGCAAAAGAATCACATAATCACATTATCCATTCATATGAAATGTCTCAAACAGGAAAATCTGTAGAGACAGAAAGTAGATTAGTGGTTTGGCTTAGGGATTTGGAGATGAGGGGTTAAGAGAGTGATAACTAATGGATATGGCGTTCGTTTTTGAAGTGACGAAAATGTTCTAAAAGTGACTGTGGTGATGGTTACACATATCTGTGCATATTCCAAAAACATCAAATTACACACTTTACATGGGTGAATTCTTGGTATGTAAGTCATTATCTCGATAAAGCTGTTTTAAAAAAAATAAAGCTTTGAAACTAGATAGTGCCTTAAAGAACCAACTTTCAAATATCTACAGTATTTCCATTTGTCATCCATTCCCAACTCTTCAGGAAATATTTTGTTTTTTGTTTTTTCAAGTCACTTTAACTTTCTCATTCATCCCTGGCCTATAGGATAGTAGCAAAGATTTTTCTCTAATATTTGCTTCTGAAAAAACAGATACAGAATGCACAAGTGTTACTATAGTAATTATATCATGAAGGCAGATTTTCATACTTGACTGTTCACTCACTTTCTATTGAATCATAATTTTTTATACTTACCTCTCTGTAAATAAGGGACTAGAAGCCAGATTGTCTTGTATACGGTCTAGGAGATAAATCTTAGTCCTTTAGTCCCCAGATTATAGGGATCTATGACCAAAAAGACTACTACATGAGTAAATGTGAATGAATTCACTTTTTTACATGTCCATTGCCATGGCTATCATGGGGTTGTGGGAGAGGGTAGTTGCCTTGGTGCAGGGGCGGAAATATGGTAAATCTTTTTAAAGTGCTTTCAACTCATCTTTATTACAGCACTGAAGATGGTGTATAGTTAGGTAATTGCATGTCTGTTTTTGTGAGATTGTGAATTCCTTGAGGGCAGGGACCAAACTTGCCTTTTTTTCAGCTTTGTACCCTTGTATCTGTAGCCTAGTTTTTAGGAAGCACTCCATAAATATTCACAGATTGATGAGAGAAATTATGGGAACATAGAGACAAAGTGGGGATAGTAGAAAGTGAAATGCTAGGTACTAAGAAGATTACTTTGGAAATTCTATTTACTATTTGTAAGGATCACAGACCCCTCCAAAAGCTTAAATGTTTTACTTTGCCAAGTTGATGTCGAGTTACTATATTTCACTTTTTAATTGTGTATGAATGTGGGTTGTTTATTCAGTTTAACACTCTATTTTACTTAGTCATTTTGTTTTACTGACTGTAATATGCCAAAATGAAATAATGAAACTTCTCATTTTGACAGCTTGAAATAACTGTGAATGTACCAGATATAGGCATAGCTGTTGTTGAACATCCACTCTCAAACACAAATGTGACTACTCAGGAGATGAAACAAGAAGAAAATTTGAAGGCATTATCTGTTGTAAGCATCCATTGTAATATGTTTTGTTTTTAACTCTTTGTTTACTTTCAAAAGAATGGAGGTTTATTTTGAAAGCTTTAAGTTTACAAGCCATTCTTACTAATTTCTTTCATGTAGGGAGCTGTAAGTATGAATAGTAGAAACTGGTGAATAATCCATAGATTTTGTATTTCACTTGGAAAGCATTGATTTTTGTGTGTGTGCGCGTGAATAACTCTTAAGATCCTCAAAAACTTACGTTAAAGTTCTGTTGCATTAAATCTATATTAAATATAAATTACTTAAAATATATTTAGTTGCATTTTGTTTGGTACTTTTCCTTATTTGGTTAGTATTTCTCTTGTTTTTGGATAAGAAGTTTGGGAATTACACTGTTTCAACAACTTTATTTTTTTTTTAATTTTTTGTTTTTTTAAAACATTTTATTTATTTATTTGAGAGAGAACGAGGGAGGGAGGGAGAGCACAGAGGGAGAGGGGGACTCCCCGCTGAGCAGAGAGCCCAATGTGGGGCTTGATGCCAGGATTCTGGCATCATGACCTGAGTCGAAGGCAGATGCTTAACCGACTGAGCCACCCAGCTGCCCCTTTTAACAACTTTATTAAGATATAGCTCACACACCAAATAAGTTACCCACTGAAAATGTACAATTCATTGGTTTCTGGTATATTTATAGATACTGTGCAAACATTGTGACAGTCAATTTTAGAGCATTTTCATCACCTCTAAAAGAAACCTTATGTCCCAAAGCAGTTGCTCCCCATTTCATCTCAGCCCTCCCCATTTCGTCTCAGCCCTCCCCATTTCGTCTCAGCCTTCCCCAGGGTTAGGTAACCAGTAATCTACTTTTTGTCTCTATAGGTTTGTCTATTCTGGATGTTTCATATAAATTGACCCATACAATATGGTCTTTTTTTTTTTAAAGATTTTTATTTATTTATTTGACAGAGAGAGAGATAGTGAGAGCAGGAACACAAGCAGGGGGAGTGGGAGAGGGAGAAGCAGGCTTCCCGCCGAGCAGGGAGCCCGATGTGGGACTCGATCCCAGGACCCCGGGATCATGACCTGAGCCGAAGGCAGACGCTTAACGACTGAGCCACCCAGGCGCCCACAATATGGTCTTTTATGCCTGGCTTTTTTCACTTAGCATACTGTTTTCAAGGTTCATCCACATTCTAGCATGTATCAGTACTTCATTCTTTTTGTGTTCGCATAACACTCCATGTAGACAATACTGCGTTTTGTTTATCTGTTCATGTGTTCATGGACATTTAGGTTGTTTCCATCTTTTGGCTATTATAAATAACGCTGCTGTAAATATTTGTATACAAGTTTCTGTACTGACATTGGTTTTGTTTTTTTTTTTTTTTAAAGATTTTTGTTTATTTGATAGAGACACAGCAGGAGAGGGAACACAAGCAGGGGGAGTGGGAGAGGGAGAAGCAGGCTTCCCGCAGAGCAGGGAGCCCGATGTGGGGCTCGATCCCAGGACCTGGGATCATGACCTGAGCCGAAGGCAGATGCTTAATGACTGAGCCACCTAGGTGCCCCAAAATACAATTGATTTTTGTATATTGGTCTTGTGTACTGCAACTTTGCTGAACTCTTTAGTTCTTTTTTTTTTTTTATGAATTTAGCTTTTATTCAAAATTAAATAAGCACAAGTTTAAGAAACTTTTATAAAGTACTTACATAAAAGAAAGTTAATAGGGACAGTCACAAGTTTGCAACAAATAATTACAAAAGTATCTAGGGCAGCATGAATATAAACCATGTCACAGCATGGTGATCTAATTGTGATATGAATAAGGCATAACTAACATTTGCACCAAGACCAGAATTAAAAAATAAAACATACTTTATTTATTTATTTTTTTAAGATTTTATTTATTTATTTGAGAGAGAAAGAATGGGAGACAGAGAGCATGAGAGGGAGGAGGGTCAGAGGGAGAAGCAGACTCCTTGCTGAGCAGGGAGCTCGATGCGGGACTCGATCCTGGGACGCCAGGATCATGACCTGAGCTGAAGGCAGTCGCTTAACCAACTGAGCCACCCAGGCGCCCCTAAAACATACTTTAAAAGCTTAGTTCTACATTAAGCTTCTTCTCTTCCCCCAGATCCTTAATGGGTTTATACTCTGTAATTGTTTTAAACAAACACATCATGTCAAACTAAATTATATAGATGGGCAGTTAATGTGAAAAGCCTTCTAAAATGTACAAACTAACTGGTACTGAATTGTGAGCTCTTTAGTTCTAATAGTTTTTTGTTGTTTTTTTTTAGTGGATTCCTTAGGATTTTCTACATATAAGATCATGACGTGAATAGAGACAGTTTTACTTCTGCCTTTCTGTATTAGTTTCTCAGTGCTGCTGTAACAAAATTCCACAAACTAGGTGGCTCAAAATTACAGAAAGTTATTTTTTTTTTTATAGTTGTGGAGGCTAGAATTCCAAAATCAAGGTGCCACCTTCTGGAGGCTCTTAGGGAAAAACCATTCAGGCCTTTCTCCTACCTTCTGGCAGTTGTCAGCAGTCCTTGTTATTCCTTGGCTTGTGGCAGCACATTCCTAATTTTTGCCTCCATTGCCACATGGTGATCTCCCTGTATGTGTGTCTCGGTGACTTTTTTCTTTTTTTTTTTTTTTTTTTAAGATTTTATTTATTCATTTGACAGAGATAGATATAGCGGGAGAGGGAACAAAAGCAGGGGGACTGGGAGAGGGGGAAGCAGGCCTCCCGCAGAGTGAGGAGCCCGATGCGGGGCTCGATCCCAGGACCCTGGGATCATGACCTGAGCCGAAGGCAGACGCTTAATGACTGAGCCACCCAGGTGCCCCTGTGACTTTTTTCTTTTAAAGACACCTGTAATAGTGGATAGGGCCAACCCTAATCCAGTATGACCTTCTCTTAACTTTATTACATCTAAAAAGGCCCTATTTCCAAATAAGGTTACATTCATGGTACTGGGGTTAGGACTTCAACATATCTTTCTGGGTGACAGAATTCAGTTTACAACACTTTTCCTTTTTTTTTTTTTAAAGATTTTATTTATTTGACAGAGCACAAGCAGGGGGAGCAGCAGGCAGAGGGAGAGGGAGAAGCAGGTTCCCCGCTTAGCAAGGAACCTGATGCAGGGCTGGATCCCAGGACCCTGGGATCATGACCTGAGCCGAAGGCAGACGCTTAACTGACTGAGCCACCCAGGCTCAAGAGTGAGCATTTTTGTCTCATTACTCGTCTTAAAGGAAAGTATCCAGTCTTTCACCATTAAGTTTGATGTTAGCTGTGGACTTTTCATAGATGTTTTATTTTTACCAAATTGAAGAAGTTCTAGTCTTTTCCTAGTTTGCGTGACAGTATTATCATGAAAGGGTGTTGGAAGTTGTCATATGCTTTTTCTGCATCTATTGAGATGATGAGGTGATTTTACCTTTTTATTGTATTGATATGATGCATTACATTGAATTTTGATGTTAAAAAATTGCATCCCTGGGATAAATCCTAATTGGCTGTGGCCTGCAAGTTTTATATGTTGCTGGATTTGGTTTGCTGGTATTTTATTGAGTTTTTTTTGTGTGCAAGTTCATAATAATTCTATTTTCTATTACAAATCTGACACCAGATTCTTGTGGTGTCAGGAGCTGAAGTCCTGTTCTTCCTAGGAAGAAAGCCCTCCAGCTGGGGCCTGTAAGGAGAAAAGACCCTATTTTCTTGGTTGCAGGTTTTGAGGTGGGGTCTCTGCTTCACTGAGCTGAGAGGAAGGAGGGGGAGAGAGCAGTCTTAGTTCAAATACCACAGGCTCTCCGCTTTGTTACTCTGTTTTCATCAGTTTTCTCAAAAAGATGTTTCTTTCGCCCTAGGACCATTTCCAGAGGCTTTACATGTTTGTGTTTAATAGGGTCAGCAGAGCCCCTTATGATGTCATATTGGACATAAATCTTGTAACTTCTTCATTTGTTAAAGTTCATTTAAGTTTTAACCAACCTAATGTAAAAAATTGACAGTATTCTTCAGTCTTTGGTTTCCACTGGTTTAAACTGGCAGATATGACTGAAGTTGAAGGATTATGAAAGTGAAGAAGTAAAATAAGAACGGTAGGTGCACATGGTAAATGCTATATGATTAGAGTTAAAAATCTGCATGTCATACAAGGAAAAGGTAAAATAAGGAGCAAGAGACAAAATAACTTGGCTTTTAAATTATTTCTATATGAAATGTTAATGAATAATTGTATGGGAAAAAAACAGTTTCCACTCCTTTGTAATCAGAACATTGAGGAACTGTAAAACATCATGGTTTTTGAGACACAGAACATATATTTGGGAAAATACATAAGACATTGCTTATTTTTCCTCTTTTAGGAAATGAACACAGGTGAACATGCCCAAGATGAAACAGGTAACTGTTAATAAGGAAACTGCTAAAACTACTTAGTTAACACTAACAAAGTGATTCAGTATTGGTGTTAGTTAGCAAATGAGTAATTTCACTGGAGAGTTGAACAAAAGTTTTAACTGTTGAATGTGTTTCTCCAGGAGAAACTTGGATTCTTGGAATAATTACCTTATGAAGTGAGTTAAGAGTTAAATGTTTAATAAAGAAATATTACTTATTTCCTCTCCTCTGATCTGCACAGATATATTTTCTTTGAAGGTATTAAGTTATCTAATAGGAGGGAGGCATTTTCAATGAGTAAAAGCTAACAATTAATGATTTCTTTTTTTTGTAGTAACCAGACACTGCTCTAGTAAGGAATTAGTGGTATGCAGGACATTGAAACTTGTTCCAAAGGATAAATACTTGAGTTAAAAATGTTTCCTAAGTAAGCAAACTTCAATTTCCAGCTTCTTTTTCTGTTTTAATGTTGGTATATTTCCTCACAAGGTACCAATGATGGAAGCACTGAAGCTGCTATAACTTTACTTACAATGGGAGATCTAGTGTTGCAATCAGAGATCGGTACAGAACAGAGTGATGGTAAGAATGAAAGTTAAGTCCTACTGAAAAAAGCCTCTTAAAATAAAACTTTTAAGAAATTATACCCACAGTTGAGTAATAAGTCAGTACCTGCCTTTTACATTTGAAGTAGGCATTGCCAACTTTGTTTTTTTCCAGAAAAAGGTAACGTGTGCATTGATCCGTCTAACTTAGTCCCTTTAGATGTAGTGGCCACCATTTCAAAATAGTGCACTTGGTTTATTAAGAAAACTTTGTTTTCCTGGAATAATCTAGTGAATCCTCTACTTTTCTCATCATAAACATTGGTTAACTGAGCTCATTGGTCACTGATCACTTGACATATATTTCTTTAGCAAAGGAGCTTCTGCTTTGGATTATCTTCGTAGTTAACCTGATAATCGCATATAGTATGAAGGGACAATAGCAGTCATTGAAATAATTTAATTGCGACTATTCTGTTAGTTTGGACTGAGCCAAAAGATAGGTCAACCTAGATTTTCACAGTATTTTAGGCTGACCTTATGGAATACCTTCTATTTTAAGTCTACTAAATGGATAATTAATTATATTCCTCTTAATTATTTTGTCTGGAGATGAGTGGCCTGCCATTTATTTTAGGTGTTAGACTTCTAGGCCCATAACTATATATTTATCAGGAATTTTTTTTTTATTATGTTATATTAGTCACCATACAGTAAATTTTCTGGTCTGTGTTCCTTACACAGTCTCATTTCTCTCTCTCTCTCGCTCTCTTTTTTTTTTTTGAGTAAAATATATACCCAATGGGGGGCTTGAACTCATGACCCCAAGATCAAGAGTCATGTTCTACTGACTGAGCCAGGCAGGTGCCTATATACGGCTCCTTTGTCAACGGCAGAGGATTGCTTTGGAGCCTGTAATAAATCTCTAGTACATAAAAATGGGTTTTAAAAATTTGTAAATGAAGGTGATCCTATCTTGAAACTGATTTGAGGCTATGTAGTTAGTCAAGGTAACAGATTCATTTTTACTTTTTTTTTTTTTTTAAGATTTTATTTATGTATTTGTCAGAGAGAGCACAAGCAGGGAGAGCACAGGCAGAGGGAGAGGCAGGCTCCCCGCTGAGCAGGGAGCCCGAAGCGGGACATGATCCTAGGACTCTGGGATCATGACTTGGGCCAAAGGCAGACGCCCAGCTGACTGAGCCACCCAGGCATCCCTCATTTTTATTTCTAATAGCAGAAAAATTCTAGTCTGTAAGAATTATTAGGCTTAGAACAAGTCAAATCTCTGGCATAAACTATATGATTATATATATATATATTTTTTAAGATTTTTGAGAGAGAGAGAGCGTACACATGAGTGGGGGGGAGGGGCAGAGGGAGAAGCAGACTCCCTGCTGGGCAGGGAGCCCACTGTGGGGCTCGGTACCAGGGCCCTGAGATCATGACCTTTAACCGACTGAGCCATCCAGGCACCCTGATCATATATTGAAATTCAGAACCAAAAAGAGTAAACTTTAAAAATAATATAGAATTTTACAGTTGCTTAATGTTGAGGGATTTATTTTCTTTGGACATCTACTTGTATTGGGTCAATTTTAATTTTCTGTTCTTTTCTGTAATAGGAGTATGTGTACTTCTTGATGTTCATTCAAAGGATAAAAGCTGTGTTCCTTTTAGCCCAGATAATGTAAATCACAAAATTGTTCGTGAATGTCAGGAACTTTCTTCACCTGTCAATAGTACATCTCCTTCTTCATTAGAAGAAAACAAGATTGTATTGGAAGAGCAAAGTACTAAAGAAGAAATTGGTTTAGTGGAGAAAGTAAAGGAAAACGCTGTATCAACCAGGTTTATTTTGCTTTATTAAACTCTTGAGTTTTATAGTATTCAATTAATAAATACATTTAAACCAACTATCAATTTAGTTGATAGCTTTTGAGTAATACTTGTGTAAGTGTAAATTAGGCACTGCTAATTTCTCAGCCTTTATTAAAGATTTTATTTATTTATTTGAGAGAGAGTGTGTGAGCAAGAGAGAGAGAGAAGGAGCAGGGGGAGGGCAGAGGGAGAGGGAGAAGCAGATTCCCTGCTGAGCAGGGAGCCTGACATGGGGCTCAATCCTGGGACTCCGGGATCATGATCTCAGCAGAAGGCTGACACTTAACTGACTGAGCCACCCAGGTGTTCCAGTTTCTCAGCCTTCAAAGTGAGGATAGGCTGGTTTGATTTTAGTTTAATGGTTTGCTTTTTTTTTTTTAAGATTTTATTTATTTTTTTGAGATAGAGAGTGAGCATGAGCGGGGGGGGAGGGGCAGAGGAAGAGGGATAAGCAGACTCCCCACTGAGCAGAGAGCCTGACATGAGGCTCGATCCTAGGACCCTGGGATCATGACCTGAGCTAAAGGCAGATGCTTAACTGACTGAGCCACCAAGTTGCCTGTGGTTTGCATTTTTTTTTAATTTATTTTTTTAATGTACACTCAACATCCAGCATGGGGCTTGATCTCAGGACTCTGAGATCAAGAGCCACATCCTATAATCACTGAGCCAGCCAGATGCCCTAATGGTTTGCATATTAAAGTAAATGTAATATGTGCATCTTTGAAGCTTTAATGAAATAGTTTTTTATGTAAATATGGTCTCTATTTTACAAACTTGGCCCAAATTCTCTTCCCTTCTCTAGACTGTCAGTAAAATTTACCACTCTGTGTTTTCAGCATTAAAAAATGAACACTTACAGATATTGTGGCACCTGAGAAGGTGGCACGTAACTGTATCAGAATGTATGAAGGTGAGAGAGTGATTACATGGTTGATGAATTTCTTTCTTCCCATCTTTTTCTAGGAATACAACTTTTGAAGTGACCGGTAATTTGAGAATGAGAAGTAGATTTGCTAAGCCTAAACCAAATCTTAAGACTTTTGGGACCAGCAGGTTTGGTGTTCATCAGGAAGTTCCCAATTTGTTTGTAAACAAAGAAGTAGTAGTAGAAAGTCAAAGAGGTAAATTATGTTCTCTTAAACAGCTACAAAATTACTTTTACAGGAGAAGTTGCATTAGCATTTCAAATGGAATATTCAGTTAAAATTGTTTTAATTTAGTATTAAAGAGTTTCAAAAAGTAGAATGAGCTATAAAAGAAATACTAATAAATCCATCAACTAGCTTCAGTCATCATTATTATTTTCTGTTTAGTTGACCCAAAATAACATGGGTTTGAACTGCATGGGTCCACTATACATGGATTTTTAAAAAAGAATTAATTAAGAGGCGGGGGGTGGTGGCGAGTGGGGAGGGAGAGCGAGAATTCCAAGCTGACTCTGTGCTGAGCGTGGAGCTTGATGTGGGGCTTGATATTCACCCTGAGATCATGACCCAAGCTGTAATCAAGGGTTGGATGCTTCACCGACTGAGCCACCCAGGTGCCCCTATACAATGGATTTTTTTCTTTTTAACTTTTAAAATATGTTTTATTTGGAAATAATTTCAAAGTTACAGAAGACTTACAAGAATAAGAAATAGTACAAAGAACATCCAGATACCACTTGTATATAAGCTTACACTTAATTATACATGGAATTTTTTTTATAAACATAGTACAGTCCTATAGATGTATTTTCTCTTCCTTATGATTTTCTTTTCTTTTTTAAAAATATTTATTTGAGACAGAGGGAGAGTGAGAGGGAGAAGCAGACTCCCCACTGAGCAGGTAGCCCCATGCAGGGCTCTATTCCAGGACGCTGAGATCATGACCTGAGCCAAAGGCAGACGCTTAACCGACTGAGCCACTCAGCCGTCTCTTACGATTTTCTTAATAACATTTTATTTGTTCTAGCTTACTTTATTGTAAGAATACAGTATCTAATACATAGAACTTACAAAATACATGTTAATCTGTTTATGTCACCAGTAGGGCATCTGGTCAACAGTAGACTAGTAGTAGTTAGGTTTTTTTGGGAATCAGATATGCAGAATTTCTACTGCATGGGAGGTTTGCCCTTAACCCCCATGTTGTTCAAGGGTTAACTGTATTTACTTAATCAGTGTTTTCTTCATAGGTATTTTTTATGTGTGTCTGTGTACATGAATATTCAAGCAAACATTTTTTAGAAAGCTATACATGCATGTGGCAAAAAATAAGACATTGCCCATAAGGTATAAAATTTAATAAACTTCTTTGGTTCCCAGTCCCCTAATCTCATGTCTAGTGGTAAACTGCCATTAAGTTTTTATTGTGGACTTCCAGAAGTGTTTTATACACGTAAGCATCTAAATGTGGGGCTGTGTGTGCACATAGATATATCAGTACACACACACACACGTATATAAATACATGTTATTCCTTTCAGAAAGAACAAAATTATAAGCAAACTATATCATATATACTGTTTAGCACATTTATTTATTTGTTTATTTACTTATTTTTTAAAATTATTTGTTAGAGAGAGAGAGAGTGCCTGGTGGAGAGGGAGAGGAAGAGAGAGTTGCAAGCAAACTCTGGGCTGAGCCTGGAGCCCCACGCAGGGCACGATTCCATGACCCTGAGATCATGACCTGGGCTGAAACCAGGAGTCGGATGCTTAACCTACTGCGTTAAATAGGCGCCCCTTGTTCAGTACTTTTAAAAATTACAGTTTTACTGAAATAATTCTATACCATACAGTTAACCCATTTGAAGTGTATACTTGAGTGGCATTTAGTATATTCCTCAAGTTGTGTAACCTTCACCATGAGTAGCCACTCCCCACATCCTTCAACCCTTCCCAGCCCTAGGCAACCACTAATCTACTTTCATCTCTGTAGCTTTGCCTATTTTGGACGTTTCATATAGATGGAATCATATAATATGTGGCCTTTTGTGTCTGGTTTCTTTTAGCATGTTTTCAGGGCTCATCTATGTTGTAGCATGTGTCAAATATTTCTTTTTCTTGCCAAATATTCCATCATACTACATTTTGTTTATCCATTCAGGGCATTTAGGTTGTTTTCTGTTTTTTGGCTGTTTTAAGTAATGGTGCTAAGAACATTCGTATGTAAGATTTTGTGTGGATGTAAGTTTTCATTTGTCTTGGATTTACATTTACAAGTGGAATTGCTGGAATATATGGTAATTCTGTGTTTAACTTTTTGAGGAACTACTAAACTGTTTCAAAAGTGGTAGCAACATTTTGTATTTTCTTTTTTTTTCTTTCTTTCTTTTTTTTTTTTTTAAGATTTTTTGTTTTACTTTTAAGTAATCTCTGTACCCAATGTGGGGCTTGAATTTACAACCCTGAGATTAAGAGTCACATGCTCTACCAACTGAGCCATCCAGGCGGTCCAGCGTTGTGTCTTTTCACCAACATTCTGTGAGGGTTTTAGTTTCTCTCTATCCTCTCTGACACCTGTTATTAGATAGTCTAGTTAGCTTGAAGTGGTATCTCCTGATTTGGATTTGGATTTCTTTCATGACCAATGATAGAGTATCTTTTCATGTGCTTATTTATATATTTTCTTTAGAGACATGTGTTCACATCTGTGCTCATTTTTTTTAATTTTGTTTTTTTTTTTCTAAGTAGGCTCCACGCCCAGCGTGGAGCCCAACGCGGGGCTTGAACTCACGACCCTGAGATCAAGACCTGAGCTGAGATCAAGAGTCGGATGCTTAACCGACTGAGCCACCCAGGTGCTCCAATCTGTGCTCATTTTTAAATTGGGATACTTGTTTTTTTATTATTGAGTTCTTTATATAGTAGCACTTGGTTTTTAAAGATTTCATTTATTTATTTGAGAGAGAGTGAGGGAGGGAGAGAGAGCACAGAGGGAGAAGCAGACTCCCTGCTGAGCAGAGAGCCTGACATGGGACTCAATCCCAGGACCCAGAGATTATGACCTGAGCCGAAGACAGACACTTAACGGACTGAGCCATCTAGGTGCCCCAGTAGTACTCTGTTTTTAAAGATTAGTATATTGAAAAAAATCTTTCTATATGATTACATAGTGTTCTCTTTCATTTTCTTAATGGTGGCCTCACTAGATTGTGCTGTACATGTTGAATCCTACTCCTACTTCCTTTTCCACCTCCCCTCCCTGTCAAGGGCCCAGCCCCTTCACATGCTAGTAAGAGCAGGAAAAACTGTATGTAGTAGGCTATCTGATTGTCTTAAGCCCTATAGGTAGATGATCTGGATAGTTAGCATCATCTTTGCCGTGTTTTGGGGTTCCTGATTTCTGGGATTTCCTTTCAACCAGCAATGCTTATGATTCAGTTAGTTAATTTACTCTGAGTTCAGAAATACCCTGAAGCTATTTCAGTGTGCAGGCTGAAGTTACCTCTTTTATTTTTATTAAAAATTTGTTTTTATTAGAGTGTGGTTGACCCACAATGTTACATTAGTTTCAGGTATACAACAGTGATTCAACAAGTTTGTACATTGTGCTATGCTCACCACAAGTAGAGCTGCCATTTGTCACTATATAATGCTATTACAGTACCGTTGACTATTCCTTATGCTGTGCCTTTTATTCCCATGACTTATTCATTCCATAACTGGAAGCGTGTATCTCCCACTCTCCTCCCACTTTGTCTGTCCTCCTACTCCCCTCTGGAAGCCATCAGTTCTTTGTATTTATAGGTCTGATTATGCTCTTCGTTTGTTTATTCATTTGCTTTCTTAAGATTCCATATATGAGTGAAATCATATGGTATTTGTCTCTCTCAGTTTGACTTACTTCACTTAACATAATACCTTCTAGGTCCATCCGTGTTGTCAAAAACAGCCCAATCTCAACCTTTTAATGGCTTTGTCATATTCTATTGTGTGTATCACATCTTCCTTATCCATTCATGTACTGATGGACACTTAGGTTGCTTCCATATCTTGGCTATTGTAGATAATGCTGCAGTAAATATCGGGGTGGTACATATATCTTTTGAATTAGTGTTTTCATTTTTTTTGTGTAAATACCTAGTACTGGAATTTATTCAACCATATGGTATTTTTATTTTTAATTTTTGGAAAAACATCCCTACTATTTTCCACAGTGGCGGCACTAATTTACATTCCTACCATTAGTGCACAAGGGTTCCTTTTTCTCTATATCCTTATTAACACTTGTTATTTCTTTTTCTTTTGTTTTGTATTTAGCCATTTTGGTTGTGATATCTTGTGGTTTTGATTTGCATTTCTCTGATGATTAGTTATGTTGAGCATCTTTTCATATGTCTGTTTTTCATCTGTATATCTTCTTTTGAAGAATGTCTATGCAGGTCCTGTGCCCCTTTTTTTGTTTTTGTTTTTTTTAAATAGGCTCCGGGCCCAGCATGGAGCCCAGTGCAGGGCTTGAATTCGTGACCCTGAGATCAAGACCTGAACTGAGATCAGCAGTCAGACATTTAACTAACTGAGCCACCCAGGCACCCCATCTGTGCCCATTTTTTAATAGGATTGTTTTATTTTTTGGTGTTGAGTTACATAAGTTCTTTACGTATTTTGGGTACAAACTCCTTATCAGATGTATCATTTGCAAATATTTTCTCCTAATCAGTAGGTTGCCTTTTCATTTTGTGGATGGTTTCCTTTGCTGTGTAAAGCTTTTTATTTTGATGTAGTCCCAATAGTTTATTTTTACTTTTGTTTCCCTTGCCTCTGGAGACATATCTAGAAAAATGTTGCTACAGCTGATGTCAGAGAAATTATTGCCTGTGTTTTTTTCTAGGATTTTTATGGTTTGGTCTCACATTAAGATCTCTAATCCATATTGAGTTTATTTTTTGTATATGGAGTTAGAAAGTGGTCCAGTTTCATTCTTTGGCATGTAGCTGTCCAGTTTTCCCAGCACCATTTAATGAAGAGAATGTCTTTTACCCATTGTTTATTCTTGCCTTCTTTGTCCTAGATTAGTTGACCATATAAGTGTGGATTTATTTCTGGACTCTATTTTCTTCCACTGATCTATTTTTGTGCCAGTACAGTATTGTTTTGATTACTGTAGCTTTGTAGTAGATCTTGAAATCTGGAATTGTGATACCTCTTACCTTTGTTTTTCTTTCTCAAGATTACTTTGACTCTTCAGAGTCTTTTGGTGGCTCCATACAAATTTTAGTATTACTTGGTCTAGTTTTGTGATAAATGCTGTTGGTATTTTGATAGCGATTTGAAGGTAACTCTTTTATGTAGAAGTCATTTTTTACTTCTTTGTGATATTCTTTTTTTTTTTTTAAACTTTTTATTTTTTTTTTAAAGATTTTATTTATTTGACAGAGAGAGACATAGTGAGAGCAGGAACAAGCAGAGGGAGTGGGAGAGGGAGAAGCAGGCTTCCCGCGGAGCAGGGAGCCCGATGTGGGACTCGATCCCAGGACCCTGGGATCGTGACCTGAGCCGAAGGCAGACGCTTAACGACTGAGCCACCCAGGCGCCCTCTTTGTGATATTCTTTTTAGAATAACTCCCTCCCCAACTTTGCCCAAGGTGGAACTAGCCAGACCTCATGTGTACCCACTTCTAAACTTGATTTGTATATGGGTTTGTAATTACACTGCTGTCACCATAGAGTGGACATAAAACTGTGGCAGCCACGAGCGAAATATGTGCAGTGTAGGATTTGTTAATCATTTGTATCAAAAATCTCATTGGCCAGGACCACTCTTCTGCCATATGAATAAGCTTGATTTTTGGAGTAAGAGAAATTTGGAAGAGCCACTATATAGTGATCTGTCGTTGAAGAGAGAACATATTTCTAATATAGCAGTTTTAGCTGTACTGTTTTGGACTATATCTTAAGTGTGTTCTTTGTTTAAGAAACTGAGGAAGATGCTTCTGAAGCAACGGAATTACGAGATGAAAACCTTGGATCACTTACAACAGCAGAGAATAAGGAGCAGAGCAAATTGGCTTGTGAACATGGTATTGAAGAGACTATTTTTCAAGAAGCAAATCTAACTGAAAGGTAAAAGAGAGATTCTGGGATTTGGATTATATTCTGTTTCAACTATAGTCATTAGCTACAACTGTAAGAATTTGATTGGAAAAAGGGGGTTCTGTTGCATTAAATATATTTTAGAAATTTGAACACCATTAAGTCTTTGACTCACTTAGCTCTAAACATTACTCTGTAGTTGTCCACTTGGTTTCAGTACAGAATTTTAATACATACTCTGAAACTTGAATATATACTAATTTCTTTTTCAGAAATGATGATCAAGAAGAAGAATCTCAAAAGGTCCAGATACCGTCAGTTGCTCCAGTTGTTTCCTTTGAGACAAGGCCCCATACACTTGGTTCAGATATGGTTCTCAGTGAGAGTTCCATCAAAGAGCCCCAGAGAAAGGACTCTAATGGAGACAGTGTGCTTGCACTTCATGTGTCAGAGGTAAAAGAATATAAATATACCATGGGGTGGCTGGGTGTTTATTACCCATTTAAAAAAAATTAAGGTAGAATTTACATACAATAAACTTCACCTTTTTCAGTGTGTACTTCTACAAGTTGTGACAAACATATATAGTTATGTAAGCAACACATAAACAGTTCCATCATCCCCCAGATTCCCCAGGGCCCTTTTTTAGTCACCCCCCCCACCCTTACCACCCCGACTGCTTGGCAATCCCTGATCTGTTTTCTTTTCCTATAGTTTTGACTTTGCAATAATGTATTATGATAGAATTTTTTATTGAGTGTGTTTTTAGTCTTTGGAGCATAGATAAAACAGCCAATACGTAGCTTTGCTGTGAAAGTTTTGAAAATGGAAGTGTTTTGTACAGAGTAATTACCTCTTGCTTGCTGGCCACTGAATCTGAGAAATACTTTCACACTGCAGGTATTTTTCTTACTACATGTTCAATACCGTGTAAGGTACTGGGGGGACAAAGTTGTGGGAAACAATTGAGGATATGAATGGTTACATTTTGATAGGTGCTATGAAGGCAAGTTGCACAAGACTCTCAATAAGGAGTGGTCCTCAACCCAATCCAGTAAAATCAGTCTCTGGAAATAGGGTGTAGACATTTACTTTCTGTTGTTGTTGTTAAAATTCCTCAGGTTGGGGTGCCTGGGTGGCTCAGTCATTAAGCGTCTGCCTTCAGCTCAGGTCATGATCCCAGGGTCCTGGGATCGAGCCCCGCATCGGGCTCCCTGCTCAGCCTCCCACTCCCCCTGCTTGTGTTCCCTCTCTCGCTGTGTCTCTTTCTGTCAAATAAATAAATAAAAAATAAAATCTTTGAAATAAATAAATAAATTCCTCAGGTTATTCTAATGTGTAGCCAGGACTGAAAAAGTCCTCAATCTAGAAGAACAGGTAAATTAACCAGTTAAAGGGAGAGGAACATGTGTAAAGAATAAGTGTGAAACAGCATTTCATATTCAGGGACTAAGTAGTTATGAGTAGGATATAAATGAAGAAGTAGTTAAAGATGAGTGAGCTAGGTATCCCGGGAGCAGATCATAAAAGGGGTTTTTATGATTTGCTAGAGTTTGGGCTATATCAAAATTTATGGGATTTTCCCTAACCTCCAGCTTGTTTATTTTTACTTTTTATTTTGAAAAAATTTCAAACTCATTGAAGAGTTGCAAAGATTTTTTTTTTTTTAGGATTTTATTTATTTATTTGACAGAGAGGCACAGCGAGAGAGGGAACACAAGCAGGGGGAGGGGGAGGCTGAGAAGCAGGCTTCCTGCTGAGCAAGGAGCCCAATGTGGGACTCGATCCCAGAACCCTGGGACCATGACTTGAGCCAAAGGCAGACGCTTAGTAACTGAGCCATCCAGGCGCCCCTGCAAAAATCTTCAATAGAATTCTCATAGATCCTTTACATAGATTCATTAATTATTAACATTTCCTTCATTTGCTTATTTTGTCATGCTCTCCATCTCTGTAGATAGATACTTTTTAAGAAACTGAACCATTTGAAAGTTGCAGACATGAGCCTTCACCCATACATACTCCAGCTTGAATTTGATACTAAGGATGTTTCTAATACAGAAATGATGATACTGTTATCACAGTCAGTATTACCATACTATCTAATATTGATTTTAAAATAATATGTAATACACAGTTTCAGTCAGGGCTCTCATACTGCATTTAGTTGTCATTCTCCATATTCTCTTTTCATCTAGAGTACTTCTCCTTTTCCCTCTTCTGTGAACTTGACATTGCAGGCTAATTCACAATCTGGATTTTTGTTCTTCTTCCCCATTATTAGATTCAGATTGAACAGTGTTTGGCACAATTACTACCTAGGTGTTGTTGTGTTCTTCTTTTATAACCTCAGTAGGCATGTAATGTCAGTTTGTCTCATTATTGGTGATGTTCACTAATTACTTGGCAAGCATGGTGCCTGCCAGATTTCTCCATTTAACAGAATCTTTTTTTTTTTTTTTAAGATTTTATTTATTTATTTGACAGAGAGAAACAGTGAGAGAGGGAACACAAGCAGGGGGAGTGGGAGAGGGAGAAGCAGGCTTCTCGCTGAGCAGGAAGCCCAATGTGGGGCTCTATCCCAGGACCCTGGGACCATGACTTGAGCTGAAGGCAGACGCTTAACAACTGAGCCACCCAGGTGCCCCATACCCAGTAGTTTTAGTATCCATTGGTGATACTTGCCTGAATCAATTACTGGCATTGTTGGTTACAAAATTAAAGTTTGAAGGGTTTTCTTTTTTTTTTAAAGATTTTATTTATTTGACACACAGAGAGACAGCTAGGGAGGGAACACAAGCAGGGGGAGTGGGAGAGGGAGAAACAGGCTCCCTGCTGAGCAACGACCCCAATGCAGGGCTCAATCCCAGGACCCTGGGATCATGATCTGAGCCGAAGGCAGACGCTTAACGATTGAGCCACCCAGGCGCCCCTGAAAGTTTGAAGATTTTAAGCAGTAGAGAATTACAATAAGAATTGCATTTTAGAGAATACAGTGTTGGCAATTTTGTGGAAAACAGATTGGAAGGAGCCATGCTGGAGGCAAGGAGACAGGCAGTTTGCTTCCATTCAGATGTCACCTACTAATAGTACAAGATCTGCTGTAATGGGGTAGAGGGAAGGTTGAGGGGTTTGAATCTCCCTTTCCTGTTACTTCAAAAATAATTTCATAAAATTCACATATTTAACAATTTAGCCGGAATTTCTTGGTGCATATATGTTTATATAAATGACTCATATAAATAACTCAATAAATGACTTATATAAATAACTCAAAAGTTATTGGTACAACTAAAAGTTTCAAAACGTTTGAAAAATTATATATGGTTAAAAAGTTGAGTTTTGAAATAATTCTTATTATATCCAGTTGTCTGGAAACTTTTTTAAAACTAAAATTTGGTCAACCTCATTTTGCATTTTAATTTTTTAAATTTTCTTAGGGTACACCAGCTAGTATGCCGGAAGTTCAACAAGAGAATGTAATCAGTTCTCAAGACTTAACAGGTATGATAATGTGTTTCGATAAAGTACCACAGAACCGAATAGTACAGCTTTTACTCCCCTCCCTCATTTGACTATGGAAAAACAAAACAGTTTTTTAGTCTATGACAGTCTTAAATTAAAAACAAAAAAACTTGAAGTATTTTATGGAAAAGTTTGTTATTCAGAATTATACATCCTCTCTATAGTGAACTGTCTTTATCCTTTTTGAAATTACTTTTTACTTTTGTGGGTGTAATTTGCTTTTTATTTGTGGGGATAAGTTGTAGTGAGACTTTTTAGAAATGTAATAAATTAATGATTTTCATAGTTCAGCTTTTCATTATTAACTTTTAAACTTTGATAGTGAATCTAGTTGCTAATGTACATCAAGATGGTGAGGATGAACAAGCATTCATTTTAACTCTGGTGGAAATCCCAGCCAATGCTGTAGAAGAATTTAGTGATACCACTGCACAGTTAATGCCAAACCCTTTACTGCCAGCACCCATATTGATCAAATCCGTGAATACAGAAGAAAGGAGTGACATGAGGTAATGAATGAGCTAACCTGTTTATTTAAATTCCAGTTAGTTAAATACAGTGCAATATTAGTTTCTGGTGTACAGTATAATGATTCAACACTTCCATACATCACCTGGGACCTAAACTATTTTTGCTAGGAGGAAAGGTGCTTTATGAATTGAATAGTATTGACTGAATAAGCCGTTCACCAGCATTATTTGTAATTGTCCCGAAGATCTTATTTAATAATTATGTGGTAAGTTAGAGAAGAAATTGTTGATTTTATACCTGATAAAGCTGCCATTTAAATGTATAATATAATACTTTTGTATGAAACTTGTTTGGTATCTTAAGTATTTTGAAAGCTAAAAAAACTTAGCAATTTGGGTTATAAAATGTCCTCTATCAAAGGTGTGTGGTTACTTTGTAAGCTTATATATTTTAAAGTCTGAAATAAATATTCATTCACAGAAGTTGCAAGAAGGATAACATTTCTCTGTGTGTGTGTGTTTGTGTGTGTGTGTGTATTTTTTTTTTTTTAAGTAGGCTTCCACGCCCAGCGTGGAGCCCAACATGGGGCTTGAACTCACAACCCCTGAGATCAAGCAAGACCTGAGATCAAGAGTCAGACACTTAACCAACTGAGCCACCCAGGCACCCCATTTCTGTATATTTTAATACTGCTTTTTAAATTCCTTACTATAGAATTGTTGTATTTTAACAGTCACTGGTTAAGATGCTTAATTCTCTGTCAAGTAGCATTAGATGTTGAAGCCTTTTATATTAGTAAGAGGCATTTTAGATTAAAATTTTAACTTTATAGACAAGGAGAA